AGACCCTAGCAAACCCAACGATGAAGGGATCACCCCCCTGCACAACGCTGTCTGCGCTGGCCACCATCACATCGTCAAGTTTCTGCTGGACTTTGGTGTCAACGTGAATGCCGCTGACAGTGACGGATGGTGAGAGCCCATGGGGGGTGGGGACTGGAAGGGCTCAGAGGCTCACTTCCCCTACCTTACAAAAAGAAATGATACAGGCTTTAAAAAATTGAGCCAGGAGGTGGTGGCACACATCTTTAATCCCAGCACTCTGGAGGGATCTGAGTTCAAGACCAGCATGGTCCAGAGTGAGTCTCAGGACAGCCAGGGCTATACAGAGAAACTGTGACTCAAAAAACAAGCAAACAAACAAAGGAAGGAAGGAAGAGTTAAAAAGGAAGTTGAGACTCCTAAGAGGAAGAATACAATACCCCTTATTTATGCCCAGAAAGCTGTCATCAGCGTTTAGCTGTTTCTGCCCTTTTCTCTGTTAGACATTGCTGTTTGTTCTCCATAAGTCTTAATAGCACTGTAGTTACTTACGTTTCCTGTTTGCAGACATTCTATATGAAATATGAGTTCTATAGAAATTCCCATGAAAAATAACCTCAGAATTCTCCTCTGTTTGTATTTAGGTGTTTGTGAATTTTTTCCATTTGCCTTCAGGATCATTGGTCTGCTGTAGGATTATTTTGAACTACCAGACAACTCTTACCTATTTTTTTAAGTTGTGGCAAGAGAGTAAGGGAGATTTGGGGCAAGGGAGATTGCTCAGAAGGGAGGTGATCCCTAGTACTCATGTAAAAGCTGGTGGAGTGGTTTACGCCTGTAATTCCATAGCTGGAGGCAGGAGACAGGAAGATGCTATGAACTTGCTGGCCAGCCGGTCTGGCCAGAGCAGCTCCAAGTTCAATAGAGACTGTATTTAAAAACAGTGGAGAATCAATTGAAGACGACACCCCAGTGTCACCTTTGGGTTCCACTTGCACCTACACAGGGACTACACATGCGCGCGCACACACACGCGCGCACACACGCACGCACACTCTTAGTATCGTAGCCAACTGTAAAGACGTGTCTCTTTAAATGTGCCATATGGCGACACTACTCTGCAGTGAACTGTTATATAGGCCCTTTCTTGACCACACCTGTCACCCTCTTCCAAAGATTTACACAGTCTGAGTGAGTAGTCAAGACTTTAAAACTAGAAACTTGGAAGGTGGATGTCGCATCACACACCTATAATCCCAGCACTTGAGAGACAAAGGCAGGTGGATATCTGAGTTCAAGACCAGCCAGGACTGTTACTTACACAGAGAAACCTTGTCTCAGAAAACAAAACACAAGTAGACACTTGGGACTGCAGAAATACCTTGGTGGTTAGGAACATTGGATGCTCTTCCAAAGGACTCAGGGTTACTTCCCAGCACCTGCATGGCAGTCCCGGGAGATCAGCCGACACCCTCGTCTGGTCTTTGCATGCACATGATGCCCATGCATAAATTCATGCAGGCAGAGCACCAAGCACATAAGGTTAACACACATGCACCTAGGCACTTGGCTGCCACAATACAAAGGTGTGATACTTTCGTCAAAATTCTTGGAGGTTTGTGTCACACGGGGACCAAGAAGCCCTGGGTGGTGGCCGACTCCACATTCCCCCTCTGGTTCTAGGACACCGCTGCATTGTGCTGCCTCTTGCAACAGCGTCCACCTCTGCAAGCAGCTGGTGGAAAGTGGAGCCGCCATCTTTGCCTCCACCATCAGTGACATTGAGACTGCTGCAGACAAGTGTGAAGAGATGGAAGAGGGTTACATCCAGTGTTCTCAGTTCCTCTATGGTATGTAGGGGCTGTCTGCCTCAGTGAGCAGATCTGCTTAAGTGCTCACTGCCTTTACACTAACCCCAAACATCTGAAAACCCCAGCCTGGCCTATATAGTGAGACTCTGCCTTAAACACAAATCACATTAGGAGGGCTCTGTCCTGCTTGCTGAAGAGTAAGAACACCTGCATTCAGGGGAACAGTGGTGGTCCACGCCTTTAATCGCAGCACTCAGGAGGTAGATGCAGGTGGGTCTCTGAGTTTAAGACCAGGACAGTCACGGCTATGTAGAGAAACCCTATTTGTTTTTTTTTTTTTTTTTACTGGGGGGCAGGAGGGGGAATGCCCTGGAGTCCCAGGAATGGGAGCTGTGTTTAGCCAGGCTGCACTGGTCTGCACACTTGCTGCTGGGTCTGTTAATGTAAGCAGGGCTACTCCTGTGCCGGCTTGGGGCCTTCTGCACATCTCAGCGTCTAGCAGTGAAGGGCGCGTCCTAAGCTGCTGTATCCAGCGTCAGAAGTGTAGGACTCAGCCGTGTCCTCCGTTAAGCAGGTACAAGTCAGTGGTCCACATACAACTTTGAGAAGTTACTGTGTGTGGCCTGTGGCACAATCGATAATGGCCAGACTGCAGTTGGTACTGAGCTCCCACAACAAAGGCAGGCAACAAAGTTCTCGGCATTAATGAAGCTGGGCAGGCCCAAGGGCCCTGGCAAGCCCATGTGAGGAAGAGGCTGCCATCACAGAGGCTCCTGCTAAGAGAAAAAGGTTTCTCAGCAATGACAGCCCAGGCCTGAAAGTAGACCTGTATGATCTGCTTACAACACCCAAGGTGCAAGCCACCGTGTGCAGCTGGTTCGTTGCTGCTCTGCAGTTACGGCTCCCCATCTGATGACTGGCCACCCTCTCCCTCTGCTAAAACCTATCTTGTTTTTGGTCCCAGGGGTACAAGAGAAGCTGGGGGTGATGAACAAAGGCACTGTGTATGCTCTGTGGGATTACGAGGCCCAGAACAGCGATGAGCTGTCCTTCCATGAAGGGGATGCCATCACCATCCTGAGGCGCAAAGATGAAAATGAGACTGAGTGGTGGTGGGCTCGTCTTGGTGACCGGGAGGGCTATGTGCCCAAAAACTTGCTGGGGGTAAGCACTCGGCACACTCAGAGCTTAGACACGAAGTCGGCTAACCTCATGCCTGCACAAAAGTCACAAAGACATTTAGGGCATAGGTTCAGTTCTGCTGACAGCACAGAACAAAGTGTTGTCCAAGCCCTAGCAGTCTGCTCTGCATATGGGCAAGCCCCTGAGTCCCTCGAGTCTGGCTTTCCCACGTGGCAGAGCATATGGAGGTTAGAGACCATCAGGGTCACCTCACGCTGCTTTGCTCATGGCGAACTTGGGCAGTACTAAGCCACCCCACATAGTTCTTCCTGACCTGGAGTTCTCCAGAGCTGGGTGTGGTAGCACACACCGTAATCCTAGTGCTTGGTTGGTTTTGAATTTTTTTGTTGTTTTGTAACCCTTCCGTCTCCTGAACTGACAACTGAACCCAAGGCCCGAGCAAGAGCTCTTCAACTGAGCTGAATCCCCAGCCTCTGTAATCCTAGCACTTGGAAGGCTGAGGTAGGAGGATTGAAAAGATAGCAGCCAGCCTGTAAAGTGCAGCAGTGTGGGTTGTGGGCCAGGCTGCAATCATAATGGTGTGTGTCTGTTCTTTAACAGAAACGCTCTTAGCAGGGCGTTGGTGGCGCACGCCTTTAATCCCAGCACTCGGGAGGCAGAGGCAGGCGGATCTCTGTGAGTTCGAGACCAGCCTGGACTACAGAGCGAGTGCCAGGACAGCCTCCAAAGCCACAGAGAAACCCTGTCTCGAAAAACCAAAAAAAAAAAAAAAAAAAGAGGGAGAGGCTCCTCTGGGTCTGAGTGGAAGGACAGCTGAGGTTAGGTCTGAGCAAGCACGTTTGGGGAGAATGCTGAGATGGCAGGAGAGGAACAGAGGCCAGTTCCTTCTCGGTCATCTTTTTGCACTAACTCTTGTCTGTTGCTTCTCAGTTATATCCACGGATCAAGCCCCGGCAGCGAACACTTGCCTGAACTTCCCCTGGAGTACCACAGTCTCATTAGCTCCCAGGAGCTACTACAGGATTCCAGCTGCCCTGGAAAAGCTGAAGCTAGGAAGGTCTCATGGTGCTCACTTTAGCAGACAGTATCCACAATGTGAATCCCAGCTTCCCGGTGAGGCCCTTCTCCAGTGCAGTGACTGGGGCCGGTAGTACTTTGGCCTTCAGAGAACTGCATTTTTGCCAATTACTGTAAATCCAAATAAACACCCAGCTTCCAAAATACCCGCCCCTGTTGCCAGTAAGAAGTCCTAAAACTATGAACCCTGCCGGTTGCCGATGAAGACAAAGCTCTGACTGACTCGGCCTGAAGGCCCCTTCTCATGTGTGACGTCTCTGATCTTCAGCAGAAGCAAGCTGCTACCAGGTGGTGTTGGCTATAGCCCTGCCCTCCTTGGAAAGTCTCAAAACCGTCATTCATTGTCATATTTTCCTTTCACTACCAAAGGAGTCTATTTAGAAACTGTTGTGTTTAATTAACCAGATGACCTCATGCTGTGGCAGGACTTGCATGCCTTAGCACACAGGGTCATAGGGTTCCTACAGCCTTTAGTGTTACCTTCAGCCCCTTTGTGGCAGGAGTTCATTCTGTTCTGAGTGCAGTTAGCCACAGGAGTCTGGGCAAGAAAGCCACCAGGCAGACTGGGATGCAGTCACTATGGCCGCATTCCAAGCGAGCAAGCGAGACAAACTGTACTCTGGGGCTTGAACTCTGTAGACAGGCTTTTTATACACCAAGATTATTTTCAAGTAGGCCATTGGAAACTCCCAGAATTGTATTGGAAATGTTCTTCCTCATTGAAACAAGCCCTTAGGCTTTCTTCTCCATGTCTTGTGCATAACTCCGTGTAGATCCGTGTGTAGGCTCTGGGAGCAGTGCTGTAGTCGGTCCCAAGTAGGGACTGTACAGGGTGGCGCTGAGAAGTGACGCCCTGTGTGCAGCCTCTGCCATCCCAACACCACTGATGCTGCTGGTGCCGTGTACAATAAACTGCTGTCTCACACCTGGCTTGAGTCTTGTTTTCTGGACACAGGACAGATGCACAAAGTGAGGCTGGAGCCTGCTGTGTACTTTCAAAATAAGTTTTAATTATATACTTTATATACAAATCGCTGTGTAGTCATTTAATAAAGTGAAACAGGAAGAGAAAAGTAGAAAACACGAAGGTGATGCCTTCTCTTAGTGACGTAGAAAAGGATTGTTCATTGCCCCAAGTTAGTGACAAAATAGACAGAGAGTCATAAACAGGCTAAGGCGTTATAAACGGGCTATTGGAGATAGGCGGGTCCAATGCTAAACTAGGGGCCTGAATGACCACCACCTAATTTGTTTCTGTGGGAACAGGGCCCAAAGTCTTTAACAGACCTGGGGATCTATAAACATGGTATAGGTTATACTAAAACTGATTTAGTACTGTAGTGCAGCCTCTCCCAATCCTAGTAAATACCAACAATACAACATAAGTTCTTTAAAGCGTTAATCAACTGTGTACATATTGCACTAGGTAAGTGAACACTCTGCTTCCAGACACTGGAACTGCATTTCCAAGCACACACAGAGCAGAGCCCTGAGTGCCTCATCAGGCAGGGACAAGCAGCTTGGACTTGGTAACCCGATGTGCTGAGCTCAGCTCCCTCGAAGTCACTGGTCTCGAGATTCGTAGAGGAGCTTGGTGGCCTGCACAACACCATAAAGCACACTTGGTTCTGGGCCTGACCACAGCGAGCGAGCCTATGTGCCTTCCAGGGGAGCACTGGGGGCCCCAGCTACATGGCGACTCCGCCTCCCGGCCTGCCCAGGGTACCTTGTGCATGGCTGCCAGCCACGCTGCTGCCTGCCTCTTGCTGCCATTTGCATCCTCTCCAGCCACCAGCCTCAGCTGCGCTGCAGCCTCTGCCCCTGGCTCCGTGTACTGCAGGAACATGCCTGTGGCCCGAGTGCTGCCCGCTGGAGGAAGAGATGACATGTCACACAGAACCTAATGCCCGCGTGCTGCTCGGGAAGCAGCCTTGTTGGAAAGCACGCAGTGGTAAACGATACTAGCTCCTGCTTCTGCAGAGACCCCGTGCACACAGGGAACGGGAAAGGAATGTAAAAGGTTTGTGATCCCCAGGGCCAGAAGCTAATGGCACCAGATCATGAGCTTTTCATAGTCCTGTTCTCCAGCAGTCAGGAAGCCGCCAAGCCTTGTGTATCCATGCATTCTCCTTCCAACCTTGAGACACCACATGCATGCCTGTGTTCGTTCTCATTCATAGTCATTCTCATTCTCCACACACCCCACACAGACACACCCACCTACAGCCAGAGCAGAACAGTGAAGTAAGAAACTACTCTAAGAATGCCTGGCCATCCCAAGGTAAGCCAAGCAGATAGTTCCTTCTGCCCGGGCTTCACACTCAGTGGCTGGAGGGCACAGCTGAGTAGACTGAATGCAGGCGCACCGCCCACTACCCTGTCAAGTCATTCTTCCGACTCACAGGGTCCCACGGAGAACACTGCGGGTCAGCCTACCAAGCCATAGCTCCATCTCTGGGCTATGACCAGCTGCCCCAAGCATGATTTGAATTTAGCTCTGCCCTAGGAACAAGCCACTCGAGACAGATCAGTCCTGTCAGGAAAGGTTACTAGACTTCTCTCTCATGGTGACCAAAAGAACACACTGGGAAACCACTCACCTCTACCCAGACATTAACTCTTAAATCAAAGCAGCCTGAGCCTGTGGGCACACAGTCCATAGCCAAAAAGATGCCTGACTTCCTTGCTTCCAGAAGCTCTGGCTCACAGGGCTGGGCCCACCCCGAGGGTTTCTATGTCTCATTCAAAAGCCCAGAAACACCTGAAGGCCTCGGGCTGAGCTGCCCTACCCGAGCTGTCGCAGGCTGTGTCTACCACCAGCTTTTATAAATAAAAATGTACTGAAATGTGGCCATGGTCACTGCTGGCTGTGGCTGTTTTGTGCTTTGCATGGCCATCAATATTTTACCCCCCATGCGGGCTGGAGAGAAGGCTCAACAGTTAAGAACACTCACTGTTCTTGCAGAGGACCTAGGTTCAGTTCCCAGCACCCAAAACTATCTGTAACTCCGGTTCTAGGGAACCCAACACATTGCTCCGCTCTGGAAGGGCACTGGGCATGTGTGTGGTACATACAACATGCAGACAGTCATGACCTTTAGACCTCCTGATGGGGGGAGAGGAGGGTTGAGTGGACTATCCTACCCATGGCACTAGGATATCTTCAACCAGCTTAATGCTCCACGCAGCACCTTGTATTCCATCAGCCAGGCCCCTCTTACCACTCTCCTCAGTACACTGAGATGGCAGAGCTGAGTCAGGGACCCGAGGCAAGCTACTGGGCAGTGACGAAAACTGCCGCCCACTGCATATGCCTGGTGCCTGTGAGCCTACCGCCGGCCGGCTTCTCAACTTGTGGTAACTTCTCCTGGGAAAGAACTGAGCAAACTACTTTATGCTGTCAGGACACACTCACACTTTATAGACTCATATATTGGACCTAATACCTATCTAATCAAGAGAGATAAACCCAACTTTCAGAATCCACCCCTAGGGACAGAGGAGGAGCAGACACCACAGCATGCTGGGAAGAGTGGCCCAGGGATGGAGGCTGACCTTGAGAGGCGGGCAGGCTCCCCAGGAGGCTGGTGTAAGTGTGAATGTCTTTTTCTACTTGAAGAAGGCAGGCAGTGCAAAGAAGAAACAGCCGAGAGTCAGTCAGAAAATGGAAAGCAAGATGCGGTTAGGTCCAATCTGTAGGTTCAGAGTGTGCAAATCTACAGTAAGTCAGCAGGGGCCTTGGTTGCAGAGGCCTGCAGGAGAGGCAGCAGGCCGCAAGCAGGCTCGGGTCAGCCCCCACCACAGACTGAACCTCAGATGATATCAGAGACAGGATACCGTGGGCACATCAGGCCAGTCTCCCCTCGTTATCCCCGCTCCCCCCTGGGTGGGTTCTAAAGTTACTGACTTAACACTGGCCCCAGTGAGGAGCATGGCAGGCCATCTTGGGAGCATGTGCAGTACCTCATGTTGCCCATATAGGTTCTAGAGAGTCTCTTGCTCGGGAAAGGCATGTACCTCCAGGGGTGAAGCCTTCTGTGAGAATCTGCACGGTACAGACGTGCGCAATCTCAATTTCATGATGGCTGTCCCCGTCCAGAATCAAGCACCTATAACAAAAGGGACAGTTATGAGACCGGGCCTGGAGCCTACGAGAGTACTGCCCGTGACAGTGGGACTTTGCCCTTACCTCTGGTTGTTGGAGAGACGGCAAACCATGGTTTCCGGCTTCTCTGAGTCCCCAAAAGTAACGAGGAAGGTAGCTCCTTGGAAGACAAAACCAAACGCTCACACAGGACCTACTGCTGTATCTCCCTGTCCCCAGACCATGCGCTCGGGACAAAAAAGCCTTCTTCCGCCATTACCAGATGGGAGAGCAAAGGCTGACACAAGTAACAGCCTTGTGTTAAGGATCCCTTCAGTTAGGCAAAAAGGCAATAATGAATTAAGGGTCTCAAAAGCTTAAAAGACACTGCTTGGGGCTGGAGAGATGACTCTGGGTAAGAACACTGATACTGTCTCAGAGGACCCAGATTCAATTCCCAGCACACACATGGTGGCTCAGAACTGCCTGTAACTCCAGTTCCGGGAGAGCGGCACACTCATCTGACCTCTGCAGACATGAGGCAGACGCATGGTGCACAGACACCATGTAGAAAAAATACCCATCTGCATAAAACAGAATAAAGGCCCTGCCGTGCATACACAGCTCTAAATTCTGTTCGCCCTTCAGAGATGGCAAGCAGGGGAGCCCATCAAGGTCCAGATCAGATAACTCTGGTACTCTGGTGCAGACTGGGCAAGACCACTCAGAGCGGAGGCTGGCCCTCGCCTGTGGAGTGCACACAGGCCACACCCCAAAAGAACTCCCCTCTCCCTCATGCCCCTGGGCTGTGCCTCAGAGCTGCACCTGTTACGCTTTGTCTGCAGGCCTGAGGGCCATGGCCACACAGGCTTGACTCCCAGTGACAGCTGCCATCCGGGGAAGGTGCTGCTGAGCCGGGCTCCCCGGCCATCTGGTGCTAGTGCCCAGTAAGGCAGGCTGGCATCTTAGGACATTTTGTCTCTGAAGTCCATCTCTCAGTAGGGCCAAAACAAAGCAGAGGATGAGGGCAAGACCCGCCGTCTTGGAGCAGACCACATTTTAAGCATGGCGAGCGGACACGGTGTCACTCACCACTTAGGAGCACCTTGAGCTGCTTGTCGTAAAACTCAGCCTCGCGGTGAGACACCAGGGCACACTCGGCACACTGGCGCACAGGGTCCACGAAGCACATGCGCCGAAGTGGCACCTTCTGGCTGCAGCACCTGTCGCAGAAGCACTTCCCACAGCGGCGGCAGTGGTGCTGAGGAGGGCGGGGCCGGGCGGTGAGCACAGTCGGTACAGACACCAGGCCCACCCCGCTAGCCACAACTGTCCCGACCTCCCGAACACATCTGTAGCTGTGTGTGTCACTTCCACACAGACCCAGGAGCCTCCATATGTGTGCGTGTGTGTGTGTGTAAGTGTGAGAGTGTGTGCGTGCGAGTGTGAGTGCCTGTGAGTGTGTGTAAAAGTGTGTGAGAGTGTGTATGTGTGCGTTTGAGTGTGTGAGTGCGAGTGTGAGTGCCTTGAGTGTGTGTAAAAGTGTGTGAGTGTGTCTGTGTGCGTGTGAGTGTGTGTGAGAGTGTGTATGTGTGCGTGTGTGAGTGCGAGTGTGAGTGCCTGTGAGTGTGTGTAAAAGTGTGTGAGAGTGTGTGAGTGTGTGTGTGAGTGCGAGTGTGTGTTGCTAGGGCCTTGTACATTTGTTTTTCTGTTTTTTTGTTTTGTTTTGTTTTTCGAGACAGGGTTTCTCTGTATTGTTTTGGAGGCTGTTCTGGAACTCGCTCTGTAGACCAGGCTGGCCTCGAACTCACAGAGATCCACCTGCCTCTGCCTCCCGAGTGCTGGGATTAAAGGCGTGCGCCACCGCCACCGGCTCAGGGCCTGGTACATTTGAGGTGGGCTGTTCCCTCAGTTACAAACCAAGCCCTTAACTCCTTCGACTTCTTGCTGCCCAGCACATGCTGTATCTGAGGCTCTTGGAAGGTCAGGAAGGGAGCTACCCCCGTGACTGAAACAGTATCAAAATGGCCTGTAAGATGGGCTCCTCGGAGAAACTGGGTTTCCCCAGAAAGAACTCTGTCCTCCTGGGCCCCGTCCTACATATACACACAAACACCACCACCATGGCCTCAGCTTACCTTTCTGGTGATAAAGTCAAATTTGGCATCACACTGCATACATCTTGGACACTAGGAGAGAACATGAAACAGAATTATAACCCAACTCTGTCACTTGACTAACTGCGGTGGAAGCAGCCTGCAGGGGCAGACTAGGGAGCAGCAAGGCAGGACAGCCCCAGCTCAGTGTCGGCTCAGAAGCCAAACAGGACTGCTCAGGCCACACCCCAGGCTCTAGGTTAGGAGAGCAGCATTAAGACTGCAGATGCCAGCCGGAGCCTGGCCTGGACGCCCGACAGCCAGTATTTTACAGGGTGCAGAGGCATAGAGTCTGGCTTTTTTGCAGGAGTCCAGATTCAGAAGGGCTTGATTCCTTTAGACTCGGGGTGCAGGAGCGCATGCTACCTGCTTTACCCTCATCTTGTTACAGGGGTCCGAGCTGGGTGCTGTGAAATGAACACGACATTCCACGGCAGTCAGTGGCCTACACTGGGAAAGGGCATGTCCACCCTGCCGTGCACACAAAGGAACACGGGCAATCTTCGTAGGAGCTACGGCTCCAGACGGCTGGGATGGAAGCTGAGCGCACACCTGACTAGGGCCCGTGAAGACGCCAGAGCAGAGCAGAATGAGCGGCCACCAAAGGCTTACACAGGAGGGAGCAGAGGCTCTGAGACGCACACGGGGTCTGCACTGCAGGGGGACGGTAGCCTAGGATGGCAGGAAAGATGGGGTGCCCAGCTCACCTCACCAGGGAAGAGGGCTGAACCTGCTCTCTCCCGCCTGCTTGCACTGCTCTGCTGCAGACGGTTAGGAATGGCATTAATGGGCTGGCAGGGGTGGCACACACCTTTGATCCCAGTTCATGTGCAGCCCGGTTTACAGAGCGAGTTACAAGACAGCCAGGAGTACAGCCAGGGGGAAAGAGGGGGAGGGAGGAAGGGGGAGGGGGAGGGAGGAGGAGGAAGAAGGAAGAGCGGGAGAGAAATGGCCCTAATGGGCCAGGTGGGGTGGCGCACTCCTTTAATCCCAGCACCCAGGAGACAGAGGCAGGCGGATCTCTGTGAGTTTCAGGCCAGCCTGGTCTACAGAATGAATTCTAGGACAGTCAGGGCTACATATTGAGACCCTCAAAAAAAAGAAAGAAAAGAAAAGAAAAAGAAAGAAAGGGGCGCATTAACATTAGGGGCTGTGGAGATGCTCACTGGCCTGCTCTTCCCAGGAAATCTCATGTACATGTACACACACACACACACACACACACACACACATTCATTCTAGGAAAGAACGAAAGAATGGGCCACATTTGACCTTTTCATCTCAAGGCTGTTCCAGATCTCACCACTGGCAGAGGGCTGTGCAGCCTGACAGCTACCCAGGAGTCCCTGGGGGCAGGACAGTACCAGGAGTCCCTGGGGGCAGGACAGTACCAGGAGTCCCTGGGGGCAGGACAGTATCAAGAGTCCCGGCTCTGCTGGTGAGCACACCGTGGCCCAGCAGAGGCTTGCCCTGTGTGGCTGCAACCCTGCCAGCGCTGGCCTGGCTTTCTGTCACGGCAACATGACAAGAGTAAGGCAAGGGACACAGGATCCATGCGGCCACTAGGTACCTTCTGCAGCACGGGACCCCCCAGGATGGCACCTCATCCCGAGTGTCTCCAGACCCCAGGTCTTTGCCACCCACACGTGCTACAGGCTCTTGAGTCTTCTCCCTGCTCCACCAGCTAGGTGATGTCTGCAGGGAGGGCTCCTCCTCGTCCCGCTGACAGCCTGACCTCTTCCAGCTCTTGGCCTTGTCATAGGCTGATTCTGGAAGATGCCCACAAGAAATGGCACTGAACATGGACCATCATCCACAAGCCTGCAGCTCCTCCCTCCAGCCTGGACCTACAGACCATGTGTCCAGCACTAGGCTGCAGCATGTGTGCTCCAAAGACACAGATGAACGGCTACTTGGAGGCAGCTCCTATCTGAGGAGGAGGCCCACTTTCTCAGCTGGTCCACGACGGAGGCCAACAGCACCAAGCGTCTGCAGGAGCCTCTGAGGAGTCCTTGGGACCATCCTCAATGTCCTTTCCCTGCGGGAGAGCAGGGACCCTTGGGGCACCACCGTAGCAAGGACAGAGGCACCAAGATTGCCCGAGGCCCTACAGGCCCTAGCGAGCGCCACTGCGCCAGCGAGAGACCATGCTTCTGAGACCCACGGCCAGCATCTATTTCCCTGCGGCTCTTGCGCTGCTCTCTGGCCTTGGTGGCCATGCATGGCTCATCCCGGCCTCTGGAGCTCCAAAGGCCAGGCAGCAGCTGCCGGGGACCTTTGCCCTCAGATTCTCATCCGTTCATTAGCACTCCACACCGAGTGGCAGCAAGTCCCTGCTACAATGTGGTGTCTTCCTTGACTCAGATGTCGGCTGCAAGAACTACACGGTGGTCACGGTTTGATTAAATAAGGAAGCCACAGCGCCACCAGAGCAGCTATACTTTTATAGTCCCTAGGCCACCCTGGCCCTTACCCTGGCCCAGCACACAGCCATGACAGGAGAGCTTGGACCACCGCACACATGACCACCAGAGAACAGCTTACAAGGCATGGTAGAATGCTGTGTTCAGATCAGCTGAATGACAAGAGTGCACGCATGCACACACACTCCCACGTGGAGCCAAAGGTAGGGTCTCTTGTAAATTGTAATTGGTCTAAGTAATAAAAACCTGGAGTCAGATATAGAGAGAAGGCGCAAGCCACCGCCACACCTTACCTCCTCAGCATCTCAGACAAGACAGCGAGTTCCTGCTTCTCCCTGCTTATATTCTGTTTCTGCCCAGCTACCTCACTTCCTGTCTATCTGTATAGACCTCCAGACCTCTATGGTTAGCTCATGGCACGCTCCATTCTCTGACCTTCAGACAGGCTTTATTTGTACAAGCGAGACATCACCACAGCAGACTGTAGCTTGCCAAGCAGGGTAGGCTAGCTGGTCACCGAGCCCCAGTATCTATCTCGGCTTCCCCAGTGTGGACAGTGTGGACGAGCCCCAGTATCTATCTCTGCTTCCCTGGTGTGGATGAGCCCCAGGATCTGCTATCTCGGCTTCCCCGGTGAGGAGGGTGATACCAGTTTCCCCGCTACACACACTGCAGTGGACTATTTAGGATCCAGTGTGACGCGTTCCTTGCTGAGTGAGCAAACCCCTGCCCTGGGCGGTAACGCTCCTGTCAGCCCTGCCAGCTCTTCGGAGCTGGTCCTCCAGCTGACACTCCAGCAACTACAGCCTGCACCATCCCTGATGCCTGTGGCTCCTCCCTGCGGGTCCTGTACCACCTGTAGCTTCTAGAATCCCAGTTCCTCCTACCTCACAGCCCCATTTGTCTCTAGATGGCTTTGTTCCTAGGACCCAAAGGACACCTGAGGTCTCTCTGGCACCTCTTAGTGCAGAGATCCTTTCCCGTCTTTGGCCTCTTCCACGCTTGCAGGTTGGAAGGGTTGAAAGCACCCTATAGCTTTCATTCTCCAATATCACTGGGTTTTTCTTTTAGAAAGTGGAGGTGGGAAAAAGGCTAGAAATGAAAATTAAAACTAAACAAATAAATAAAAAGTAAAGAATGTAAAAGCAAGAAGTAACAATGGCTAGTGACTCTAAGGGCAGCACCCTACTGTCCAGACTGGTGACTGTCCTGCTCCTGAGTCCCATCCCCGAGGCTGCTGTGCATACAATCTGACTTTTCCCACCTCCCTCCTAAAACCAGTCTCCTCTGTCTGCCACCACCCTCCCCCAGCCACAGGCCTTTCCCGGACCTCCCCTCTGCTCCTGGCTTCCCTCCTCAGCCCCTCACACGCCCAGGCTTAGTTCAAGCCTATAATCCCAAGCCGAGGCAGGAGGATCACTGCAAGTCCAAGGTTATGGGAAAAGCATGAAATACATAGTAAGACTGTCTCAACAACAACAAAAACCAAAACTACAAAATAACCAGTGTGCTTATTCAGAAAATGAAGACTTTTAAACAAAATAACTTTTCTGATTTCATTAATAAAAGAAATTTCAAATCATCAGCCCAGCAATTGAACATGAGCAGAGAATACAGAACTGACAGTGGATAAAGCTATAAGAATTAAAACCCTGCCACACAGCGCGGGGCCTGCCTGGGGCGGGGCCTGCAGCTCCTCCCTTGTCTGGGCCTCGTGCATGACACAGCTCTTTCAGCAGACAAGAGGATACACAGCACCAAAGTCCCCACTCCACACCCAGTGTCTGACTTCTGTTGCAGGTCACTGGCGGGCAAACTCAGCCGCCACACTGCCCCCAGAACGGAGACCAAAAGAGCAGACTAGGCAACGCATACAGCCAGGACCTGAGGGGCCACGCTTACACAGCCCAGGAGCGAGACCAAGGGCGGACAGACAGAACCAGATTGAGCAGTGGCCCCATGAGACCTCCCTGCTGTGTGAGCCTCTGGCGGTGGCAGGGGCAGGACAGGCCGCTGCTCTCCAGCGCCCCTATGGAGCCTTGCGCCTCTACTTCAGAGATGGGGATAGGCTGGTCAGTCAGGAGACAAAGGGAAGGATGAAGAGACAGGTGAGAGTGAGCCCACCCAGAAAATCTCCACCTGTGCCCTCTGCCCAGAGCACCTGCTGGTCACTGTTGGTCTACTCACCGAGCCGGACTCGGTGGCACCCACTCAGAAGGCCTTCCGGTGGAAGTGACACAGCCTCGGGCAGCAAAAACCAACAGGGGCCCAGGGCAAAACCAGACCTAGGTCAGGGTGCTCAGGAGGAGGATGCCACCTCCCTCCACAGTACACACCGGGGCCACCCCCCCCCCAGCTCTTCAGAACTATGTCCTCAGGGACATCTGACGCAGGCCATGTGGGTGTTTAAACAAAGTTACTGTAAAAAGAACACGGTTTAAGGACTAGAGGGATGGCTCAGAGGTTAAGAGCACCTGTTACCCTTGCCAAGGACCTGGGTTTGATTCCCAGCACCCATGTGGTGGCTCACAACTATTGTAACTCCTGTTCCAGGGCACTCAATATCTCTTCTGACCTCTGGGCATCAGGGATGCACATACAAACACACAGGCAAACTTTCAGACACATAAATACAAAATTTAAAGGTTTATTTATTATGTATACAGTGTCCTGCCTGCATGTATGCCTGCAAGCCAGAAGAGGGCACCAGATCTCATTACAGATGGTTCTGAGACACCATGTGGTTGCTGGGAATTGAACTCAGGACCTCTGGAAGGGCAGCCAGTGCTCTGAACCTCTGAGCAATCTCTCCAGCCCCAAAATAAATAAAAATTTTAAAAAAGATTTAAAAAGACAGCTTTCAAACAAGTATCTACTCTCTTTGAGGAAGGAGAGATGAGACAGCCCTGACCCCACTGTCCTTTCTTCACCGCGTGTAAAAACCGCCACATGAAACCCGCCACTGTGGCCAGCGCTCCAGTCACAAAGATCAGTTAGTCTAGCTGGGTCTAGTGGCTCATGCCTGGAGTCACAGCTACTTAGGAGATGAGCAGAAGGATCATAAATTCAAGGCCAGCCGCAACTACTGAGTGAAATCAAAGGCCAACCTGGACAACTGTGAGCCTCTGTCTCAAAACACACACACACACACACACACACACACACACACACACACACCCCAATAAAGAGGGCCTAGCAAGATGGCCTCCAAGGGAAAAGTGCTTGCTGTCAGACCTGGGTTCAACCCCAGATCCCAGGGTTAAAGGAAAAACTGACCCTCAAAAGCTGTCCTCTGAGCCGGGCGTTGGTGGCCCACACCTTTAATCCCAGCACTCGGGAGGCAGAGGCAGGCGGATCTCTGTGAGTTCGAGGCCAGCCTGGTCTACAGAGCTAGTTCCAGGACAGGCTCCAAAGCCACAGAGAAACCCTGTCTCGAAAAACAAAACAAAACAAAAAGCTGTCCTCTGATTTCTACATGTGCAGGGTGGTACATGCATACACGCGTGTACACACACACATGCACACACGCGCATACACACACACACACACCATATACACTCACACACAATGATGAAAACTACAATTAAAGACTGTGGTGCTGGGGACGGCTCCGTTGGTAAATTACTAGCCACATGAGCATGAGGACCTGAGTAAGACCCCAGAACCCAGGCACGGTCACCAAGTATCCCGGCAGAACCCAGGCACGGTCACCAGGTATCCCGGCAGAACCCAGGCATGGTCACCAGGTATCCCGGCAGAACCCAGGCACGGTCACCAAGTATCCCGGCAGGAGGCAGGTGGGAAATCCCTGGAGTTCACCAGGCAGCCAGTCTAGCCAATGGGTGACTTACAGATTCAGGGAGAGACCCTGTCGGAAAAAGACAGCAAGTGACTGAAGGAAACGGCCTGAAGCCTGGTCTCCACACACACACACACACACACACTCACACACACACTCACACACACACTCACACACACACACACTCACACACACACAGATACATACACATACATACACCAATGCCAAAGACAGTAATTGACGGGAAATCAATGGGTTGTTTAAAAACAAACAAACCCAGCACTTGGGAGGCAGAGGCAGGTGGATCTCTGTGAGTTCGAGGCCAGCCTGGTCTACAAAGCGAGTTCCAGGACAGCCTCCAAAACAATACAGAGAAACCCTGTCTCGAAAAACCAAAAAAAAAAATAAAAAAATAAAAAAATAAAAACAAACAAACCAAACAGTTGAGGAGATGGAGAGTTGCTCAGCAGTTAAGAGCACTTGCTGCCCTTGTAAAGGACCTGGGTTCAGTACCCAACACTTCCATGTGGCTCATAATTTCAGTTCTAGGGGACCAACACCCTCTTCTGACCGCACAGACAAGACAGCAAAGAGCAGACACAGGGAGGAGATACACGAGGAGACATGAACTTGTCAGGGCGCTGAGCTGGCTGCCCCAGAGTGTGGCTCCACCTCAGGGACTGCTCCCGGGTTTCCTAGTTCCTCCTGGCATTTACGCCCATCTCAGCCGTGGGACTGAAGCCTCTGGCCACCCTGTCACAGGGGCTCCCTAGGACACACAGGGAGGCTCCTGTGCCTTTGGAAGAGCACAAGGCGAAGGTCACACTGTGATCCTTGGGAAACAACTGTGAAACCCCAGCTCTTCCCAGTCAGGCCAAGAACCACCCTTCCCCCAGACCAACTAAGCGCACAGGCACAGGCCCCCTGGGTTCAGCGCCAGGACAGTTTGGCAGGCACTCCAAATGCCCGTTCTTTGCCCCATGAGGCTGAATTGGGTTCTGAAGCGCCAAGCAGAGCTAAGGCCTGATTCCTGACTGGACTGTACACTAGCCACTGTCCCGGGCAACCCCTCTCCACCCCACCTCTTCCAGTCCTGGTCACTCAGTGAAGCCCTTTCTGCCTGACCTGAGGCAGAGGCCATGGTACAGTCACCCATCAGAGAGCCCCCCTCCCACCCTGGCACGAACATGGCGTTTCCGCCAGTCCAGACTTTATAGGGAACACAGTAAATTGTCATCAAGTAAAAACACCTAACTTATAGGCTCCGAGGAACGCAACGGGGAAAATGTTGAAAAAGCTAGTCCACAGCCAGTGGTCTAGCAATAATGAAAACACTTTCCCAAGAGGCTCAACTTTTGTTCCCCACAAGCAAGGCTTCCCAGCCCCAACTGCTCTCTCCTAACAAACACAAACACACACACACACACACACACACACATGCCCCCTATTTCAAATCTGTGCTTTATTGGGCTCTCATGCAAAGCTACATGTGCCCAGCTCTGGGTGTTACTTCTACTCGCTAATCCATCCCCAGGATCTGCTCGTTGTTGTTTGGAAACAGCTATGTAGCCCAGGCTGGTCATAAAGTCTCTATTACCTTGTCTCAGCCTTCCAAAGGCTGGAGTTCCGGAGTTCAGGCTATGTCTCAACACTACCCCACGTCCACCCCTTACTTTTTTGGCGTTTTAAGACACTACTCACTGTGTAGCCCTGGCTGGCCTGAACTCACTACGTAGCCCAGGCTGGCCATGAGCCACACCTGACTAAGCCTCACCTATCGTGCAGCTCTGTGTGGTAAAGGCACTCGGTGTTGGCTCAATTATCTCTACAGACAGGAACGAAAGCACAGACTCCAGGGAGGACAGGGACAGCTCAGGGACACACCCAGCACACCCAGGGATAGTCTGGGCCCCCTCCAGGGCTCTAAGAAGTGAGGACTGCCATGAACCTTCCCTTAGGGACTCTCAAGTGATTTCAGGGTTTGGGGGGTGGCAGCTTCTAGTTGCACAGGCGGGTTCTCCAGCCCCCAAGGCCCACTGTTCAAATGCTGGCCCTCCCTCTAAGAAGCCGCAGGCCTCACCCACCTGTGGATGAGGTCACGAGGGGTAAAGGAGCAGCTGATTAGAGCAATGGAGGCCAGGTGTGGTGGAGCGGGACTTTAATCCCAGCACACAGGCGGCTGAGGGAGGAAGATCTCGGTCAGTTCGAGGCCACCTTAGTCCATATGGCAACCGGTAGCGCGTGCCTGGCACCAGGCAGATCTATCTGAGTTCTAGGCTAGTGTGGTCTATGTAGTGAGATCTAGAACAGCGGGGGTGAGGACCCACTTTTAGGAAAGGCATGCATGAATTTACAACGGCCACCGAAACGGCTCACGAGGCAAAGGCACGTGCTGCCACACCTGGGACCTGAATTCCTTCCCCGGGACCCACACAGTGGAAGAAGAAAACTATCTTCCACAAATTGACCCCTGAGTCTACGCGCGAGCGCAAAGGCGCGCACACACAGGAATACATCGTGTAAAAAGTTTTTTTCCAAAGTTTACGAGAGCCACCAGTACTGAACGAGGATGCCTTTTAAACATACTTCATGTACTCTGAAATGAACACGCTGGAATGCGTCAAATGCTCCCACTTGTCTCCCAAATGGCCAAGCAGAGTTCACAACTCCCGCAGACTGCCAACTCCCGGCACCGCACCTCCTGGGCCAGGTGGAGGCCGCCACCCTCCCCTCGCCCCCAGACTCACCCCAGCCCCGTCCCCGCGCCTCTCCACCGCCCCCGGCTCGGCACCGCGCAGCCAATGACCGCCAAGGAACAGAACCCGCCCCACGGCACGGCAGGCACGGCCGGCACGGCCGGGACGCCCCGACTGGAGCGCGGCCGAGCGCCCCGAGGGCGGAGGCTGGAGACGCCCAGGCTCGGGCTGGGGACGCGGGGGCTAGGACGCACCTCCTTGTCCGGGACCCACTGCGGCTCCTCCAAGCCGAACGGGCTTCCGAAGGCGCGGTGCTCCGGCACCATGCGCAGGCCGCTGGGCGAGCGCACAAGCTTCTTGGCGTCGCGACGCGCGGCCACCCCCGAGGACATGTCTCCGCCTGAGCCCCTCACGCCTCCGCCCGCGCTGAGCCCACACAGGGCGCCGCCCCGCCCCGCCCCGCCCCGCCCGCCGGCACGATGACAGCGCCGGGGCCCAATCCGCAACCGCAGCTCGGAACGGGAGCCAATCGGAGGGTGGTGTCCTCCCCGGCACCGCCCTTCTCCAGTCAGCTCGAGGTCCCCGCCCCTGCTGCCGGCCACCAATCCACGGCGAGGGCTGGGGGGCGTCCTCCGCCCCTCTCGAAGAGATTGCGACTTCGGATTGGCTAATTAATCAGCCACGTAGACGCCTCTTCGTTTCTGCTGGGTGGGGCAGACTCGGACTCCAGACGCTCATTGGAAGAGAAGCTTGAGATAGGCGGGGCTTCCGGAGTGGGCGGAGCGCGCGGGAGATCCCGCAAGGCGGCTGAGTCGGGATGGAACCGATCGCGAGGGGCCGTACCCGGGGCTACGCCAGAGGGCTGAGGACACGGTGGGTTTCGAACAGCCTAGGCCGGGGCTCAGAGAACGATCTTCCCCGGCCGGGCGTCCCTTCAGGCCGTAGCGGGGTTCGGGGGAATCGAACCCAGAGTCCCCGCCGGTGCCTTCAGTAGCAGCATTAGGGAGCGCGCTTTCAGCACCAGAGTCCCAGGCCAGCCGCAGCGTGACAGTCGCTGCAGACTTGACCTGTGACTTTCTTGGTAGCGTCCTTCTTTTATTTGTTTTAGAGGTTTATTTATTTATCATGAAACAGTGTTCTGCCTGCAAGTATCCCTGCAGGCCTGATCTCCTTACAGATGGTTGTGAGCCACCATGTGGGTGCTGGAAATTGAACTCAGGACCTCTGGAAGAACAGCCAGTGTTCTTAAACACGGAGCCCTCTCTCCAGTCCTTATTCCTTTTTCCTACCTAGGCAGGGTTTCTCTGTGTAGCCCAGGCTGGCCTGAAACTCACCCTGTAGCCCAGGCTGGCCTTGGACTCTCCGTCTTCCTAGCACTCCTGTGGGAGTAAGCTGCCACGTGCAGCTAATCCTCTGGTTCCTTGGGTAATTGACTTCGCTTCCAAAGCAGCCACTCGGGAGCTTTGTTCGCTCCCCGTCACACATGTTGTACGCATATACACACTCAGATGCCTGTTTGGATGTGTACTGATGCGTGTGCACGGGTGACAGCCGGAGGCTGATGTCCGATCATTACTCAATCACTCACCTTATATACTGAGGCAGGGTCTCTCTTGAACCCCAGGGTCACAGACCCGCTGGTTGGCCTGCTCTCAGGATGCCCTATGGCTGCCTTCTGAGTGCTGGGGTTACTGACAGGCCACCATGCCTGCCCAGCACCAGATCTCTCTGTCTCTCTCTCCTCTCCCTCTCTCTCTCTCTCTCTCTCTCTCTCTCTCTCTCTCTCTCTCTCTCTCTCTCTCTCTCTCTCTCTCTCTCTCTCACACACACACACACACACACACACACAGCTGAGTTTGTTCTGTGCCGACCTCTGGAGTGAGCCCAGGCTTCTGAACTGCCCAGGTCCTTCTTAAGATGATGGTGCAAACAGAAGGCTCATCCTGGGCTCTCATGGATCTGTTCCCAGGCACTGATGTCCAGCTGAGCACTTTCACCTTAGGCCGACCGCCCTCCAAGTGTTGCTGTCTACCATGCCCACCCCACAGGTAGTCCGGGTTGGCAGCCAGCACCTTGGAATCCGTTGCCGTCGCTGTGTCTCGCTGGAAGTGTTTCATGCCCGTGGTGAGCCCATTGAGGAAATGGACTTGGATCAACTGGACCTGAACCCCAGAATCACCGCAGCAATCAAGAAGGGTATGTTGTGTGGAGTGGACAGTTATACACGTGCACTTTGGGTAAACCGAGCTGTGGAAAGCTGCTGGCCGTCTGCGCTGCCACCACCCGGCCCGTTCTCTTCCTTTCAAAGAAGGTCTCGGGTCTCTTAATTATGCTGTGGCCTCTCTGTCTCCTAAGGGACAGCTGCCTCACCCGAGTTCCTCATCTTCATGGCAGGGCTTTCTGTCCCTGTGTGAGCTGGTTTAATACATCTGTGGTTACTTTTTTCTCCTTCCTTTCTTTCTCATTGTAACAGGGTGTCACTATATGGTTCTGGCTGGCCTGGAACGCTCTGTGTCTGACCTTGAACTCACAGACACCCTCCTGCCTGTCTGCCATTGCTGGGATTAATATATTTTTCTTTCAACTGGCTTTAAATTAGAAAGTAAATCCAAGTCCAGAATTAATTTCTTTTTAGGGGGAAGGGGGAGACAGGGTTTTTCTATGGCTTTGGAGGCTGCCCTGGAACTCACTCTGTAGACCAGGCTAGCCTCAAACTACAGAGATTCACCTGTCTCTGCCTCCTGAGTGCTGGGATTAAAGGTGTGCACCACCACCGCCCAGGTCAGAATTAATTTCTTTGTGTGTGTGTGTGTGTGTGTGTATGAATGTTTTGCCTGCGTGTATATCTGTTTGCCAAATGTGTGTCTGGTGCCTGTGGAGGTCAGAAGAGGGCATCCGATACCCTGAAACTGGGGTTACAGGTGGTTGGGAACCACCATGTGGGTGCTGGGAATCGAACCTTGGTCCTCTGCAAGAGCAGTCAGTGCTCTTAACCATTGAGCCATCTCTCCAGCCCCCAGAATTAGTTTCTTTATCCTCCTCCCCAAGCAGCAGGCCCTTGGATCGTTAGCTGTGAGGTGGCCTCCACCTCCTGCCCCATCCTGGCTGTGTGCTTGCTGCTCTGCTCTCCCTCCAGCCTCCTTGTCTACCCTGCCCTGGCCTGGTGGCTCCATTGGTTTCCACATGGCCCATTCTCCATCTGTCACGTCATCCCCAGGCTTTGTGCTTGGTAACAGGCTCTCTCCCACACCACACCCCCAACTCCACACTCACTCTCTGTTGTTTTTAAAATGCAGGGTCCTGCTGTGTAGCTCAAACTGGCCTTGAACTCCTTGACTCCAGCGATCTTCCTGCCTCAGCCTCCCAAGCAGCTGGGCTATGGACAAAGAGTGGGATGGGGTGACCGTCACGTGCCCATAGCACCCAGGCTTCGCCCTCACCTCTGGTTCCTGTTCGGCTGCCATGAGAGGCAGCCCTCCCTCTCCACCCACTGGTTACTGACCCAAGATTTCCTGGGTGAATCCAGTTACCATCACTGGTACCCCAGATCTGGACGCCCAGCTTTCTCCTCACCCCCCACCCTCGCTGAGTGCCCTGACTTGCTGTGGTTCGTCTGTGTGGCCTCAGGGAGACTGAAGTCAGTGAAGGAAGTTCTGTGCTACTCCGGACCAGACCTGCAGAGGCTCACCAGCCTGTCCACCCACGATGTGCAGCACCTACTGAGAGCGGCCGCTCTGCACCTCCAGGGCAGCCGGGTCCTCACAGGTGGGCAGGAGAGCATCTGCCGGCCGGCCTGGTGGCTGCTGGGGTGAGGGGTGGCGCGGGCCTGGGCGGACATTCCACGCCTCCAGACTGTCTTGGGGATGACCTCACAGCAGCTGCCCTAGCCCATCAGCGCCCCTAGGACAGGTGGCAGAGCAGCCCGTGTGACAGCGCTGAGCAGTGGGGCCCTTGGTCCTCTACACAGCCCTCCTGGAGGGCTGACACCCAGGGGAGGCCTCACAGTAAAGGAGCGAGTTGGGGTCCCAATGTGAGAGGGCCTGCCATCCCCGGGACAGCTCTGCTCACTGGTGTCCGGCTGACCTGAAGCTCACACTGCTCAGAACTGTCAAGGCTGATGCTCGTTTCCTCTTCATGCTGAAGCTGTGCAGGGCTGCACAGACCCGTCAGTGAGGGTACCCTGTCACACCCTGCAGCTCAGGCTTCCTTCCCTCCTTCCTTCCTTCCTTCCCTCCCTCCCTCCTTCCTTCCTTCCTTCCTTCCTTCCCTCCTTCCTTCCTTCCTTCCCTCCTTCCTTCCTTCCTTCCTTCCCTCCCTCCCTCCCTCCTTCCTTCCTTCCTTCCTCTCTCCCTCCCTCCCTCCCTCCCTCCCTCCTTCCCTCCCTCCCTCCCTCCCTCCCTCCCTCCCTCCCTCCTTCCTTCCTTCCTTCATTCCTTCCTTCCTTCCTTCTCTCTATGTCATCCTGGCTGTCCTGGAACTCCCTATGTAACTCAGGCTAGACTCAAATTCATGAAGATGCCTCTGCCTCCCACGTGCTGGGATTAAATGTGCATACCTCTACACCTGGACCGGGTTTGGATTTCTCTTGCAGCTTGTGCCCATTAGGGACGGGCCAATAGAGTATGTGTGGCATCCTGGGAAGTGTGACAGGGACAGACCCTTACACACACATCGCACTCGGCCACACAGCCAGGCTGCCTGCCCTCCGACCTCAGCGCCCGGCCCATGTGCCTCACCTTTTTCAAAGGCCTCGTGCTCGCAGGCTCACAGGCAGGCAGGCAGGCAGGCAGGCTGGCACAGGCCAGGCAGAAGCACTGCTGACCCCATGCTCCCTGCAGCACTGCAGCTGTTCCAGCAGAGGGAGAGCTTCCCCGAGCAGCATCAACGCCTCAGCCTGGGCTGCCCGGTCCTGGATCAGTTCCTGGGTGGCGGCCTGCCTCTGGAGGGCATCACTGACCTGGTTGGCCGCAGCTCGGCAGGGAAGACCCAGCTGGCACTACAGCTCTGCTTGACTGTGCAGTTCCCACGACAGTACGGAGGCCTGGAGGCCGGTGAGTGGCGGCCCCTTCCTGGGGCGTAGGGAAGGCGGGGTCCGAGGCAGGTGGCACATGTCCTGCTCTGGGGACTGCTTTCCTCTCAGGGAGCCAGTGGCTGTCTCCTGGGTGATTTCCCATGTGGGAGGGGAGGAAGCAGGGGCACCAGCTGACCCTGCAGTCGTCACATAGCTTGAACTGAAGCGCCTCACCCTGTGCTCAGGCCCGCAGAGCCAGGGAGGTAGGGCAGAGAACGTGAGGATGGCTGTGACACAGGGAGGCTCTCCAAGCCACCTGCCTGGTCCCCCTGTGGGCTGATGCTGCCTGCAAAACAGGCCAAGATCTCTGCCGTTTGTGCTTTGGGTACCACGCACAGGAAGGGAGCGGGGCTAGGAACACCACAGCACCACTTCAAAAGCGATGGCTGAGGGAAGGCTCCAGGTCCCTGTCCTCATCACAGCTTGTCTTGTACAACAGCGGCAGCGGCGTTCCCACCAGCGTCCTGAGTCCGTAGCAACTAGACATTAGCCTCCGATGTGCCTTCTTCCCAGACACACCTGTTAGACCCAGAGCCATTGCAAAAGGAACTCTTGCCTTAAAAACCGTCACCCAGCTGTGGCACTCCACGCCCAGCCCTCAGGAAGCAGGGCAGGAAGATCAATGCAAGTTGGAGGCTCGCCTGGCTCCCCAGTGAGTCTGGCCTGGGGAGTGAGACCCCGCCTTAACAGGACAATTTAAATATTTCTATTTGTAGCCAGAGTATTGTCAGCTGTGCATCTTCCTTTTGAGGGTGATCTTTGCTTTCTTTTTGGTTTGGTTTTTTGAGACAGGGTTTCTCTGTAACAGTCCTGGCTGTCCTAGAACTCACTCTGTAGACCAGGCTGGCCTCGAACTCAAAGATCTGCCTGCCTCTGCCTCCCGAGTGCTGCGATTAATGGCTTACATCACCACCGCCACCCGGCTCATCTTTGCTTTCTTTTTTTTTTTTTTTTTTTTTTTTTTGTTTGTTTTTCGAGACAGGGTTTCTCTGTGGCTTTGGAGGCTGTCCTGGAACTCACTTTGTATAGACCAGGCTGGCCTCAAACTCACAGAGATCCACCTGCCTCTGCCTCCCGAGTGCTGGGATTAAAGGTGTGCGCCACCAACGCCCGGCTGATCTTTGCTTTCTTAGCTGAGTCCTTTGGAGCATGAACAGTATTATGAAAAGCATTTTTTTATCATCTGTGATTTGATGTCTTTGGCAAGCCACTGGCATCTTTCTCCTGCGAGTTCTAGAACCATCTATGGGAAAGACAGTTCTCAGCTGAGGCACGGGTGCAAACACTAGTGGTCCAGCTCTTTTCAGCTGCAGGGTCTGGGTGGCCTTAGGCCCAACAGTGTGCTACACAAGGACTGTTTGTGTTCCGCGTGACCAGGTGTTCATGCCTGGCGTCACCAAGTAGACAGACAGAGGCGGGAGCCCGTGTTGTCCTGCATCTAAGGAACATGTCCCAAAGTTCCTTAACCCTGGTGCTCTCTGCCTGGTCCTGCCCAACCCAGCAGGAAACTAGAGAGCAGGAATGAGCTAGCAGGGTATCCAGGAACAGGGTGTGTGTGTGTGTGTGTGGTGTGCGCACGCATGTGCGTGCACACTCAGGTATCAGTGCAGAGAGCTAGCCTGTGTTCTAGGGGACCAACAAGGTAGCTGCAGGTGGGAAAAGTACCAAGTTGAGCCTGCTGCCCTCTGGGGTGAGAACTTGTGAGGGACAGAAATAGACACAGGCAGGGGCTACATGTGGTTTTGCGGCCACAGGCCCATTTCCGGTGCTTTGGCTTCCTAGGAGCTGTCTACATCTGCACAGAGGATGCCTTCCCCAGCAAGCGGCTGTGGCAGCTCATTGAACAGCAGCAGCAGCTGCGGACAGATGTTCCTGAGGAGGTGGTCCAGAAGATCAGGTTCAGCAACCACATCTTCATCGAGCATGCGGCTGATGTGGTGAGTGTTTCTGTGCACACAGGGCCCAATGACTCGGCCTGTGGTGCAGAGACCAGGCTCAACTCAGAATACACCGCCAGGGTAGAGTCGGGAAGAGGTGTCCAGCGTAAGGGTCTGGAGGACCAGTCTGCCATAGGGCAGAGTCACGGAGGAAGGGTTCATTCTAAACCAGCAGTTGTCAACCCGTGGGTCATGACCCCTTTGGGTCACATATCGGGTATTTACATTATGATTTATAACTGTAGCAAAAATTACTGTTACGCAGTAGCAACAACAATAATTTTATGGCTGGGGGTCAATACAACATGAGGAACTGTGTTTAAGGGTTGCAGTGTTAGGAAAGTTGAGAACCACTGCTGATCTAAACACACTTAGCAGGGAGCCTGTGCCCTGTGTGCTTGTGGGCCAGGCATTCGGGAGTGCGGGGTTGACGAGTTTACTGTGTAAGTCTTCCCTACGCCCTACTTTCTGGCCAGCACTATTCCTCCTTAGCTGGAATACAGACCTAACTGGCCCCTGAGCACTGTCCATCCACCCAGGAAGAGCGTGGGAGGAGTCCTGGGTGTATATAGCAAAGGTGTCCTGGAGGTTGGTCCAGAGCCATCCCCCTGCTGCTGCTCACTGTTGAGGCTGCCTCCGTCTGGGGCTTACCTGCTGGAGGAGAAGCTGCCCAGCTAGGCTCAGTCCCAGCAGCAGGAAGCAGGGCCATGCCCAATACAGTTGCGCAATTTAGAGAAGCTCTTGTCTGCAGGGATTGGTGACAAATGAGGTTCATTCAGGAGTTTGGAGAAGGGGAGGACCCTGTACCCCAAATATAAACGCATAAATAGCACCCTGTCTAGGGCGTCACTGCGCCTAGGGGGAGTGTTCTGAGAGGACCATAGCTGGCTCAACTGAATCCAAAGCTTGCTCTCACCAAATGGCATGCACACAGATCACTTGCACGATAATAAAAAGTTTAAATTTTTAAAAACTAGTTGCTGGATAGTGGTGATGCACACCTTTAATCCCAGTGCTCAGGAGTTGGAGGCAGGTGGGATCTCTGTGAGTCTGAGGCCAGCCTGGTCTACAGAGCGAGTTCCAGGACAGCCAGGGGTACACAGAGAAACTGTCTTGGGGGAAAAACCAGGGAGAAGGGAACAGTTATGAACAGACATTCATTCTGATAAACAGTGAGGCATATAAACTTTTAATTTTAAAAAATGTACAATAAAAATACATTATCACACACAACACATGAGTGCCACGGGGAGGCCGGGCAGAAGCAGCAGGGGCCTCCCAGGAAGGGAGGGGCCAGGTCACCGGGTCACCGACCTTACTGACTCAGAGTTGCTCTCCAGGACCCTCCTAGCAGTGTGGTTATTAGCGCGTGCTCCGCAGCATGGGGGCGGGGACTAAGTTAGCACTGGGCTCCCAGCCCCATCATGGCCTTCAGGGGGCCAGCTCCGGAGCCACACTCAGCAGCACTGTGGTGTTTAGAGCAGGCCAGGCCACCGTCACTGCAAAAGAAAGATGCAGGTCAGGAGCTGCTCAACCCCTCCTGCCCTGGGGTCTGCCCAGCAACGGGATGGTGTCAGCCGCCCTGGGGTCAACAGGACCTGGACACAGAACTCCCCTCCTCTGTGTGAGCCGAGCAATGTGGACCACGCCTGCCCTCACACCATCCCCGAGGTACCTAGGCCCTGGCTGAGGGGAGGTGCAGACACTCACGTTAGTGCTAGCGTCTTCTAGGCTGCTGCTGTCGTTTTCCACACAAAGAGGCTCTGCTGGGGACGCCCTAGAGAGAAGGACAAGGTTTCACTCGGGCTGGATGCCGGGGTCTGACAGCCCCTCACAGTTGCCCGTGAGTCGGTGTTGGCCACCTGCTTGGGCAGCCAGAACTGCTTAAGACCCTGAGCTAAGAACCGTATGGAAGCCCTGGCTGCAACCTCAACCACTCCACTGCGGACATGAACAAGGCCTTCCTTCCCCTGACAACAGCCATCGCCATACAGGCCTGCCCTGCCCTGGGCCACTCAGCTAGTCACAAGTCACCCGAGCCTCGTGCCAACCGGGCACAGTGGCTCCAAGAAGTTGCCTAGGGTTGCCTGCCTTGGGGAGATACATTTCTGCCCTTAGCCTAGGGTTCCTGCAGTGGGCAGCAGGGGAGCCGACCCAGTGTCCTCCCTACTCTCCCCACTAGAACTTTCTCCAGGTGTAGCCTTATGTGGCTGGTGCAGGTTTCCAAACCCTTTAGGAGTGGATGGTACCTCATGAGTGCAGAACACACTGCCAGACCACTACTCCACCCTACCACCAGGGTCTGGCCTGCCCATCAGTACGAGGACTAGGAGGGCACCTAGCCCTTCCCCCGGCACCCTGCTCGAGTGGGGCCAACCAGAGCTGCTCTCTAGACCACAGTCTAGTGGGGTGACCGTGTCAGCCGTGGAGCTGTGGCTGGGTTGGGTGACCTCAGTATCTGCAGGGGAACCACCGGGAGGGGACGGTCGCTCTGAGGATCACGCCCTCCGGTGAGGGTCTGGGAGACAGTGGAAGATGCCCTCAGGAGAAGAGAGTGGACGTGCAGGAGTGAGTCGTGTGTCCCGCCCCCAGCCCCACCCCGTGAGCAGGAGGCAGCCAGTGTCAAAAAGCTGCATCTCGGGGAGTCAGGAGCAGATGGAGGCCACTGCCAAGTGTGTCAGTGTAGACCGCTCTGTATGTCCCCCACAGGACGCCTTGTTGGAGTGTGTGAGGAAGAGGGTCCCTGTTCTGCTGTCAAGGGGGATGGTCCGCCTGGTGGTGGTTGACTCAGTTGCGGCCCCGTTTCGTTGCGAGTACGATGTGCAGGCCTTGGCCACCAGGGCCAAGCACCTGCAGTCTCTAGGGGCCACGCTCCGCGGGCTGAGCAGCACCTTCAGGAGCCCTGTGCTGTGCATCAACCAGGTAGGTGGGGTGGGGCTCTGCACTTCACCGTGGGGGCGGGGCTCTGCACTTCACCGTGGGGGACAGGGCTCTGCACTTCACCTCGCCGTGGGGGGCGGGGCTGACGGGGAAGCAGCTGAGGTGGCTGCTGTCATGACCCTCCCTTGGGTTTTCCCAGGTGATGGAAATGGTGGAGGAGCAAGCGTCTGTGTCCAGGCCCCTGGGGTGAGCATGGCACCTCGCATCCGGGTACTGGAGGGGGTTGGGTATACACAAGCACCAGCACCCACCCACTTTGTGTCTCAGGGCCTGGGACGAGCACCTCTCTCCAGCCCTCGGCATCACCTGGGCCAACCAGATCCTGATGAGACTGATGGCTGACCGGACCCATGAGGACGATGCCACCGTGGGCTCGCCCAGAAGCCCAGCTCGGACCCTGCGAGTGCTCTCTGCCCCCCACCTGCCCGTCTCCTCCTGTTGCTATACAGTCAGTGGGGAAGGCATCAGAGGGATACCAGGAACCCAGTCCTGCTAACAGTGGCTCTGGTGCATTAGCCTGACCAGGTCCCAAGAACCCGACTCTGGTGAGCCCCTCCTACTGTGGAAACCCTGTGGAATTTGGCCCCACACACTGCCCTGTAGAGCAGAGGTTCTCAACCTGTGGGTCAAGACCCCTTTGGGGTCAAGCAAGTCACAGGAGTTGCCAAAGACCATTGGAAAACAGATATTTACAATTCATAACAGTAGAAAATTAGTTTTGAAGCAGCAATTAAATAACTGTGTTTAAGGGGCACGTTAGGAAGTTGAGAGCCACTGAGTCTGCTCGGGAACCCAGAAACACAAGTCTCCACTGTCGCCTCCTCTGCTTTCGGCCTGGCAGGACGCACACAGCACACAGAGATGCCCACCCCTCAGGCTCCACGACAGTCTCAGGGACACAGTGGGGCTGGCCTAACCTGGGTTTCTCAGCTGCCTCAGACAGAGCAGCTCCAAGCAACTTAAAAGGACACAAGGGAGGAAACAGGTTTGTGTGTCCTCGCCAGGGCCTAACTAAGTGTCCAGCAACTCTGGCCTGGCCTTGCATCCAGACTGGAGGGCACGCATGCTCAGTGGAGGGCGGGCCTCCTGTAACATCTGCTCCGCACCCCAAAATCAGCACTTCTGGATTTGAGACTCTCCAGCCACCAGGAGTGCGACCTCTGAAGACAGGGCTGTGGCTGTGAGCCCGTCCCCTGCTTCCTAATAGCCTCTGGCAGCACAGGTCCACCAGCAAATGGGCCCGCACGGGGACGGGCTCATCACGGGATCCTGCGGCTCCAGCGGTGTGACCCCACACACCAGGGTGTACACCGTCCCTGTCCTCGCTCATAGGTACACTTATGGTGTACACCACGATGTCTCCAGGACAGTCCCGCCTGTGCAGAGTCCATCAGACTTTCAAAGTCTCTCTCTCTCTCTCTCTCTCTCTCTCTCTCTCTCTCTCTCTCTCTCTCTCTCTCTCTCTCTCTCTCACACACACACACACACCGCCTCTGTCTGGCAGTTCTGGAGACTGAACCTAGGGTCTCCTGCCCGCAAGGCTCCCCACCGAGCACCAGCTACCCTGAAAGGTCTCAAACACTGGCATAAATGATGGGACACAGCTCCTTGTGATGGGGGTAGTTAAGACAAAATGGCCTCTCTGCAAACTGAAGGACGTTACATCAGAAAATAAAACTTTATTTTGTAACAAAGTATTGACAATTCTAAGTTGTTTTCTAAATAGATTGTACTGGAAATGTGAAAACACGGTTCTAAAGCAGGCACACTTAGAAGACATGCCCAAAGGTCCTAGGGCCCGTATTCACCGGCTAGGTCAAGGGGCCCTGCAGGTTCAGGGTCTGAGAACCATGCACTCTCCAGTGCTGGGACAGCCTGTCCCAGGGTCTCTGCATTTGCTCCAGCCAGCTGCCTGGCCATGCCTGCCACTGTGACCTGGTGGACCGTGCCGCCTGCTGTCCCATCTACTGCTCAAGTCCGCATCACAGGCCCAGGCGGCTCAAGAATGAGTGCAGGTGGCTGCAGGAGATGCAGACGTCTAGCAATCATTACTATTTACCTCAGGCGGGCAGGAGCCTCAAAGGGTAAGGGCACCTGCAGCACAAACTGGCAACCAGGTCAGGAAGGAGGAAGAACGGGATACGTCATCCTGATGCCCGTACGCAGAGCCATGCTTGCACACACACTGACTTTCTTCCAGAAAATTCTCATCTCAACCCTTCCAACACTCCATGCTCAGGACCACACACCAACCCCACAGTACCCACCCGCACGGCGGCTGTGCCCACCACCCGCGAGCTCCCCTGCAATAGCCACTGAGGACATTGACCTCACCATAAAGAATGGTGAGAAGGGACAGCGACCCACCCTGCTTGTCTCCTGAGAACATGAAACAATCTTGCACAATGTTGACTGCATACAAGTCCCCAGAGTGCTCCTCTGCGGCAACTAGTCAGGCCAGCCAGCCTTCTGCAGGCTTGGATTCCAGAAGGGCCCATACCCACCAGGTTTTCACCTGTGTTCTGAGAGACTCTCACTCCTCACGCTTGAGTGGCGGCAAGAACTTTGCCTGCTTAGCCTCCTCCCCAGCGCGACCCTGGTGCCTTCCCCGGGACAGGCACCTTTTAAAAAGATCTGGTTGTCATGACAGGGTGGGTGGCGGAAGTCACACACATCTGGTCTACGCATGCCTGGGCCACCAGCTGCGGCCTAGCTAGCCTCCCTGGCCACAGTGCCACTGGCTCTGGTCGCTAGCAGTCGCCAGGCCTGGGTGCAGATCAGACAACGGAATTCTGGGGCATGGCTGCCAGGCAGTTTTTATGCAACAGCCTCCGGATGTCGGTGGATGCCCCATTGAGAAAGACTGGGGGGCAGACTGGGGGGCTGCCAGGTCTCCAAGGGTGTCAGCGCTCCAGCCCTCTCGGGGATCCTATCTAGTTCAGCCCCAGCCCTCAGTGGCGAGGCCAGTGTGGCTGGCATTCAGTGCTCTCAAGACTGCCAGACAATTATTTCGTTCCTGTGTGAAAAAGCAAATGGAAAAAATATATTTAACCGATACTTATAAGGAGGAGACCCTCAAACAATGTTACGCATGTAAAATGCTGAGTGTGTGGTTTGCAGGAGTAGCTCAGCTTGGACGCAGCTCTATGGGTGTGTCTAATGAGCAAAAGGCTCACCATGTGCGTCCCAGCACCAGACACCAATCGCTAGCTCCCATGCCAGGTACACCTAGAACACACCGCTCCGTGCCTTAGTGCCCTTCATCCTCTGCTTGGGGCTAGGGTGACAGCTGACACTTCATTAGTTGAATTTGTGCTACTGGTCAGGTGAGATGACCAAGGAGTCTGTCACTTTGGACTAAGCTCTGTATGCTGGCATAGACATGTCCTCCACCATGAGTCACAGCTGCTCCGGCTCAGAACCAAGCAATGGGCAGGTTCCAGGGCTGCTAAGGTGATGGCAACACCCAGCGGCCAATTCAGATGTCTAACAGAAAGGGGGCGCTCTCGCGTGGCGCACGTGTGCGAGGCTGCACAGGGTGCCTGCCGGCTACGATCGTAAGCATCCGTGTGACAGACAGCGGTTACACACTTTTCACAAGGAGACTGTTCCAGCTCTGACACTGCTTCCAGTGAGTACAGCTCTAGTGTTCTTAAAGATGACTACATCTGTCAGGCGGTACTCTGAGGGCAGCCCCGTGATGTGCAGCAGACACTACATAAAAGCCCATCACAGCGGAGCATGCTCGGGGCCAGTGGCCAGGGCACGAGCAGGGCAGGCTCCCTACTTGGAAGCAATCTTCTGTGGCTTTGCCACCTGCATTAAGAACACCCAGAGATTGTCTTTTTGCCGGGCAATGGTGGTACACACCTCTAAACCCAGTACTTGGAAGCAGAGGCAGGCAGAGCTCTATGAGTTCAAAGCCAACGTGATCTACAAAGAGAGTTCCAGAAAGGCCAGAGCTATACAGGAAAACCTTGTCTCAAAAGAAAAAAAAAAGAAGCACCCAGAAATCTGACATACTCCGTGCTGCTGGACATGGATACGCAAGGACGAGTCCATGAGCACACTGTTTACCAAAGGAAGAAACACGCTAAGGTGACTGACCTCTCTTGCTCTTGGGGACGCTGGGGACCACAGAACTTGGAGAATGGGCCTTTCCCACTTGGGCTGAATACACACACCCTTGAACTTGGTTCAGTGCCCAGGGGAAACCACCCGTTCTCTGCATGTTTTGCAGCATTAATTCTTTTTCATGCAGCAAGTACTGCTACCTTCTGAAGCTGGGCAGCCAGAGCGGGAACTCCAAGGACTGTCAGGTGAGTCTGGGGCTCCCAGAGGACCCATTGCCCCAGGCAAACTCTAGGCTCACTGTGAGGGCTAGATGCTTAAACATGTTCTGTGGTTTTGGGTAAATTAATAGGAAAAACAGTTTAACACACTGTGAAGTCACTGTTTCTCTACTAAGAGGCCAGGTGTGTAACAGACACTGTTAATCCCAGCACTCAGAGGCAGAGGCAGGCAGACCTCTGGAGTCTGAGGCCAGCCTGGTCTACAGAGTGAGTTCCAGGCCAGCCTCCTAAGCAATACAGAGAACAGTCTCAAAAAAACAAGGCAAACAACAAACAAGAAATTTTTGTGTTTTTGTTTTTTAAAAGAAAAACCACCGGGCGGTGGTGGTGGTGCACGCCTTTAATCCCAGCACTCGGGAGGCAGAGGCAGGCGGATCTCTGTGAGTTCGAGGCCAGCCTGGAGTGCCGGGATAGTCTCCAAAGCAGTACAAAGAGACAGAGACAGAGAGAAAGAGAGAGACGGAGAGACAGAGAGACAGAGAGAGAGACAGAGACAGAGAGAGACGGAGAGACAGACAGAGAGAGAGAGACAGACAGAGAGAGACACACAGAGACAGAGAGAGAGACAGAGACGGAGAGACAGATAGAGAGAGACAGAGACAGAGAGAGAGAAGCAAACCAAACCTGGAAGATGGGCATGGCATGTACACCTACAGCCCACCAAGGGAACTATGAGCAGGATCTGTGAACCAAGTGTGACTACACACACCTCCAGTGACACCGATGCCAGAGACAGAGGCTAAAGGGCCGGCACCGAGGCCCAGGCTCACAGGACCTCCACAGATGTGGGTGAAGGACAGAATGTAGACTCTGGGTCACAGACGCTGTGCACAAATTCTACAGATGGCCAGCTCCAGACCAAAAACTAAAGAGAAACATTTCAGCACAGGCCAATCAGCTGCTGCTGTAGGGCTGAACAGGCTCTTCTCCGTGGGGACTGCCAGGGATGAGCCAAACCACAGTTGTGGTTTTGTTTTTGTGGAGTTTTTGAGACAGGGTTTCTCTGTGTAGCCTTGGCTGTCCTGGAACTCACTCTGTAGACCAGGCTGGCCTCAGACTCCAGAGGTCCGCCTGCCTCTGCCTCCTGAGTGCTGGGGTCAAAGGCCTTTGCACACGCCCAGCCCACTGCTCTCAGTGAAGGCTACCCTCTCTGAAGAAAGCTGCACCAGCGTCTCTCAGTCTCCTTTTTGCTCATAAGATGACGGCAGCAAAGTGGCCCCTGCGTGCCCTGTCTCTGTCCCACGACACTGGAAACTACTAGGGTCTAAGTGCTGGGATTAAAGGCGTAGATGCACGCCTCAGTTTTACATGTTGCGTGGCATATAACACAAGTCACTGAGAAGTATCAACACAGAGTGTGGACTTGTACCTCACATCACGTAAACCACCCCACCCCACGAGAGATGGCCACACAAGGCTGTTAGCACCAGAACTGACTTTGCACACTGAGTCAGTCTCCCCAAAGAAAGGAACCACCACTCAGATGGTGAGCCCAGGCCAGGTTTCAGGGTGCAGACCTGCAATCCCAGCTACTCGTGTGGCTGAGACAGGAGGATCACAAATTCAAGGCTTGCCTGGGCTACAGGGTGAGTCTCTGCCTCCAAATTCAAACAAAAGGCTGGCAGCTCTGTAGGTCTCAGGGTGTCCATACATCTAGTCAGGCCCAAACTGAACTACAGGAGGGTTTCTGGCCACTGGACAAAAGCCAGCATTCTTGGGAACTTGAGAAACGGGTTCCGATCTGCCAAAAGGAGTCATTTCCCTTACCTCTGGCTGAAGGGACACCGGACTGACTACCTGTGGTGCCTATGAGCATGTCAAAGCCCATGCTGGTCTCCAGGCTCCTTCAGTACCACAGGTGCCTGCTGCACATTTCACAGCCAGCGCTAGTCTCCTGGCCCCTCCTCCATGAGCCCCTCCTCCTCCTTACATACATGAGCGTCCACCACTGGACCCTCCCTCTGTTGCTATCTCCACTTTTCTCTGCTCTCCGATTCCCTAGCCCTGGCCATGTCCAGTCTGCTCTTTTCTCTCTGTTCTAGATTCTTCCAGAAGTCTCTGGGTATTTCCTCTCTGGCATTCACAATAGAAACCTTCCCCCTAGAACGCAGCAGTGAAGTCAGCAGGTCTTTGCTATGGCCCCTCACACACAAGCTCAACAGTGGGGCATTTGCCCGGCACAGGTGTGACCCTGGATTCTACCCTAGTACTCTGGCCAGCCGAGAGAAACAGCCCAGCAGCCACCAAGCTCTTTCTCAATGCCCGAAGAAATGTGTATATCCCCTCAAGCTTCACATAACAGACACAGCCTGGCTGACCCGACAGACATCTAGAAACTCTTCACCACAGGGGCAGCTGGCATGGCAGTCTGCTCCACACACTTCCAGACAGTGTTCAGACAATGCATCTTCCAGGTGTCTACGATGTCACACACACGCAGACCCTCCACAGACACAGCTGGCCAGCACCCGACTACTAATAGAACCAAAGTGAGCCTCGGGCCTCAGGCCCACCTGTCTCCCAGAATCCACTATGAACCAGAGAGACTTCTGGAGGGACAGCGGCCAAGAGTGTAACCCAAGCACATGGTGGGCTGCGGGGCCAGGAGGCAGGGAGGCACGAAGCCTCTTCTCATGACCCTGAGGATGAGAGTGGACGCCTGCAGAAGGCAAGTATCCCAGAGCAGGTTGCAAAACACAACTTTTAACTCCCAACGTGGTCTCCAAAGGCCTCTACAAACTCACAGCCCAGAGCCCTGGAGTCCTGAACACAGCGCTATCACGTACAGTTTGTAAAACTGCATTCCTGGGCATTTCTAGGAAGTCTGGGATATAGAAAATGGCTGGCCAGGCTCCAGAGAATGCCCCCAAATGCTGGGCAGCTGGCATCACAAAGAGCACAAAGAGACGAGGCATGGGTAGCTTGTCATGGAGCAGCAGAAGCTCGAGAACCCTGGCTGTGGGCCACCTTCTAGAAAACCCCTTTGACAACACAGTATCACCACCCGAAGCCATGATTCACACACCTTTCCTTACACTGAGGGAAGCCCAGAGTTTTTGAAAAGCCTTATAACAAAATCACAAAACTCAAGCTTCATTAAAAGCCATTCCTTTTCCCATAATTCCTGACTGCGTTAACATGATCATAGCTTCCATTCCAGAAGATGAGTTGCAACGGAGTTAAGCCAATGCTAACTTAGAAAGAAATGATACCGTGAACTATGTCTGCTGACCAGTGGCTTCTGTAGGGCTTGTGTGCATGAGTGTGTGGTGTATGTGTGCGTGTGTGTGGTGTATGTGTACATGTGTGTGTGTGGTGGGGTGTATATGTGTGTGAGTGTATGGTATATGTGTGCATGAGTGTGTGGTGTATGTGTGTGTGCGTGTGTGTGGGTGTATATGTGTGTGCGTGTGTGGTGTATGTGTGCATGAGTGTGTGGTATATGTGTGCGTGTGTGTGTGGTGTATGTGTGTGTGCGTGTGTGGGGGTGTATATGTGTGTGCGTGTGTGGTATATGTGTGCATGAGTGTGTGGTATATGTGTGCATGTGTGTGCGGTGTATGTGTGTGTGCGTGTGTGGTATATGTGTGCATGAGTGTGTGGTATATGTGTGCATGTGTGTGCGGTGTATGTGTGTGTGCGTGTGGGGGGTATGTGTCTGTGTGTGTGCGTGTGGTGTATGTGTGCGTGTGTGGTGTATGTGTGCATATGTGTGTGGTGTATGTGTGCATGTGTGGTGTATGTGTGCATGTGTGTGGTGTATGTATGTATGCGTGTGTGTGTATGTATGTGTGCGTGTGGGGGGTGTATATGTGTGTGAGTGTGTGGTGTATGTGTGCATGTGTGTGGTGTATGTCTGTGTATGTGTGGTGTATGTGTGCATATGTGGTGTATGTGTGCATGTGTGGTGTATGTGCGCATGTGTGGTGTATGTGCGCATATGTGTGTGGTGTATGTGTGCATATGTGTGTGGTGTATGTGTGCATGTGTGGTGTATATGTGCGTGTGGGGGGTGTATGTATGTATGTGTGCGTGTGGGGGGTGTATGTGTGCATGTGTGGTGTATGTGTGCATGTGTGTGGTGTATGTGTGCATGTGTGTGGTGTATGTGTGCATGTGTGGTGTATGTGTGCATATGTGTGTGGTATATGTGTGCATGTGTGGTGTATATGTGCGTGTGGGGGGTGTATGTATGTATGTGTGCGTGTGGGGGGTGTATGTGTGCATGTGTTATGTATGTATGCATGTGTGTGGTGTATGTATGTGTGCGTGTGGGGGTGTATGTGTGCACGAGTGTGGGTGCACTCTCCTTTATGCACATGCGTAGAGTCTCCAGGTCATCTTCGGGTGTGTTCCTCTCTCTCTCCACCTTATCTGAGAGAGTCTTTGAACCTGGAGCAGGCCATTTTGGTGACTGGCTGGCCAGGACACCTCCAGGATCCAATTCTCTCTGCGTCTCTCAATGCCAGAGTTATACACAGGACACACCCCCTCTGCGTGAGTGCGGGGATCCGAACTCAGGTCCTCAAGCTTGAGCAGCAAGCACTTTATATGCCCAGCCATTTCCCCAGGCTGGGTTTCTTTTTAAAGAGAGAGAGAGAGTGTGTGCGTGCGTGCGTGCGTGTGTGTGTACACACTTATACACCATGACGTGTGGAGGTTATAGGATAACTTGCACGAGTCCGTTGTCTCCTACCGTATGGGTCCTGAGGGTTGAGAGGGGTGACAAGGCCCTTTAGCCCCCAATCCATTTCATGGGCCCCCGCTGTTACTTTTGGAGACAGAGTTTCACTGCACCCTATGCTGGCCTCTCGAATGCTGAGATTGCAGGTGTGAACCACCGTGCCCGGCCCACTTGTCACCCAGGAGGCGTTCTCTGAACAGAATCGAGGCACTCCACTGGTTCCCTCGGAGCCTTCCCAGCCGGCTTCCCAGCTGCTTCTCAGGCTGCCCTGGAAAGCAGTAGGCAAAGCACCCAACCCTCAGGACCAACTGTGAGCCCCAGGGAGGCTGCTTGCGGTCGCGGTGCAGTACCGCATGCTGGCGGAAGAGGGCGCTGAGGAGATAGTTACCCAGGGTTCCTCGGCTCACTGTCCCGTGCACTTCCTCCCTTCAGCTTCCTAACCAGCTTCTCACTGCTGCGTCTAATGGAAGCCCGGAGTTTGCTAAAGGAGCCACTGCGCTTTAAAGATCCAGTGCCATCCTGAAAAACACGTGAACAAGTGTGAAGCCCTGGATGTCCCCTCTTGCCCCACGCTCAGCCCGATGACCCCAACTGCTGCCAGCACCGGCTGGCAAGTGAGTCATGTGCGTCATCATGTTAAAAACAACCCATGATCGGAACCCTGTGAAAATGAAGGATCCCAGCAGGAGCAGCCATATTTCCAAGGAGAGCGAGCCCACAGCTGTCTGAGGACAAAGGACAGCTGGGGTCAAGAGAGACGGGCTCTCCCACGACTGCCAGCCGCGTGTAACTGCATGTTGTACGAGCAGTGTGCACCGGGCAGCAGAGTGGCCAGGACGCCAGACCCCACAGAGACAGAGTCCTCCCACCACACTCACGCAGGGATTAGATGTGTCAACTCTAAATGTAGCTCCAAGCTTTAAATAACACGCTCATATTTAGGCAAATACTGAAAGTCTTGAGATACCCGTAGGGAGCGAAAGAGCAGCCAGCTGTCCCCATAAGCAACCAGATGCTACAGAGACGCCCGGCAGAGGCTGGACAGGAAGTCAAATGCAGAGTGGGAACCCTGCGCAGAGCAGACTTTATCTCGGAAAGGCCCCCAGGGGATCTCGGGACTGCAGCTGTGCCGCGCTGTCCCAGGAGACTGAGAAATGTACAGAGCAGACAGACGCAGACAGGTCAGTTGGAGTGAGTTTATTAGAAGTTAGAAAGACACAAATGCACACATCACAGAGCACTTAAGATTAGTAGAGAAAAGCAGAGATGCCAAAATTGCACACCAAGACTACACAGAAGTCTACTTGAGTGTGTCCGGGGAGCCCTGTGCAGGGACGCTGGCCAGGTCTGTGAGGGCCACAGGGGTGCAGCACATGCCTCACTCACTCCTACAGCTCAGTGACCCCACAGGTCACTATCATGCCACTGTAATAACCCTGCGTGACACTAACACCTGTCAGCAGGGTGAACAGCTACTCTCTCTTAACTGTTAAACTTGATTGTTACACAGTAAATGGGTTTATTAACACAGTTGATTTTTCTAAGTACATATCTGGCAAAGCTACATGTATCCAGAAACCAAGACCCCAAAAGGACAGCAGCACCGAAAGGAATGGCCAGTCCCAAGGTGCGGCTGACAAGCTCCTAGGGGCTGCTAGACACAGCGGGCAGCACTGGAGGGGCCGGAGGAGGCGCTGCCCGTCATGCAGGAGCAGTGCGGGAGGCACCGGGCGGGCGGCTAGGCCTGTCAGACAGAAAGAGAGAAGCAGGTGAGGTGGAGGAGCGAGGAGCGCAGCGCCGCAGGCCCCGCCCCGCAGACTGCTCTACAGTATTTCTAGGTCACAGATCTCACAGCTAACACTCAGCGACCCAGGCGCTCCCTGCTCTACCAGGCTGGCACAGCAGATGCTGGGCCCAGGGTGTATGAGGGAATTGAGGCCAGCTTTCCCATAAGCGTTGAGCACAGACTAGCGCTGTGTTAGGAATCTCCTCAGGGCTTAGTATGGAGAGTTTCACAAGTTTGCACATGAGAGAGACTTGGAGGTGAGGGACAGGAAAGGCAGAGTGTGGAAGACGCCATTTAAACTTCTGTCATGCTGCTTTCTCTAAACCATCGTGGACTCCCCGCAGCTTGATGACTTCAGTCTCTTAAAAACACTAACGTCCTAGACACCTTGGAAACGTTAAGATCCAGCGACTTTAAAAGTTGACAGCACATTTGAAACATGCAGATGGAGATCCAAATAAAAAGTCTGCACAGGCACCGCGTCCTGGGTCCGCCAGACTTTGAAAAGAATGGCGCACAGACAGACAGCTGGGCCTGGCCACCCGCTCGCTCAGACTCACCATGGGACGCTGAGCAACTCATTTAACCAGCCCGAGCTTCATCTTTCTCATCTTTAAATGGAAAAATAAAACTTGTTACCAACATCTCCTGAATGCCAGGGGACAGAACACATCAGTTCCCACCGTTGGTCATGAGAAGGAGGCTACATGTTACACAGCGCCCACAGCCACGATGCTCGACTCCCTCCCTGGGCTCACAGGGATGAGTGGGAACGCTCTCAGCCACCCACCTTGTTCACGGAAGTGGCAGGCACGTCTACTCCTCAGGCTCATCCTTCCTTCCCATCCCATGTAACCTGAGCGCCTGCACCCAGCGGGTGGACGCCAGGAGCGGCCGAGTAAGAGCGTGGCTCATGGATTCTGACAGCTTTGTACAGACAGACATTCACACTGCATGAACCCTTCTTACAATCACACGTATTGTGTGTGTGCACTCACATGTAAAGTGCACAGGTGGAGTTCGGAGGATAATTTGTCCACCATGTGAGTCCTGGGGGTTAAATTCAGGTCACCTGAGTGACAAGTGTCTTTATCCACTGAGCGGTTTGCAAGCTGTCAACGTGGGTTTCTGAATCACAGACTATACTGACTATAGTATTACAGCAGAATTGTAGGGTGGCACCTTCCTAACTTCTTTTAGTATATTCTAGCTGCCTTCTTAGCATAACTATAAATAAAAATCTACTCTGTATTAACAGTTGTCTCATTCCCTAATAAATTTAAATAAGTATAATAAAACTTGTGAAAGTCAAACCAAGCCTGGTGGCAAGAAGCCCATGAGGCAGAGGCAGCAGATCTGTGATTCCAGCCAACCAGGCCACACTGTGAAACCCACCTCAAAACCAACAACACAGGCACTCGCCTTTAATCCCAGCACTGGAGAGGCAGAGGCAGGCGATCTCTGAGTTCGAGGTCAGCCTGGTCTACAGAACGAGTTCCAGGACAGCCAGGGCTACACAGAGAAACCCTGTCTCAGAAACAAACAAACCAACAACTCTGGGATACAGGTCTACAGTTCCGACCACTGGGAAACTAACACAGGAAGGGCACGAGTTTGACAGCACCTGCCTCAAACCACACAACAGGCAGGGACACAGCTCAGTCACAGAGCCCTGCCCTTGCATGTGGATGGTTTAACCCCCAGCACTAAGAACACGCACGCACGTGCACACACACAGACACATGCACGCACACGCGCACACAGACACACAGACATATGCCTCCTCACACAGACACATACACACTCATGTGGAAATACCACTAGTACGATGTGAAGTAGAGGCGGTAGGTAAGAGGCTACTTCTGAAGGACCTAGGAAAAGGGCAGCGAAGATGGAGGCTGTCCTGGGCCGCTCCGGGCCCACAGGGAACTGAACATGGTGTGCTGCATGTGTGAACAGCAGGACACCTGTCAGCCAGTGACTTTGCTCCATGTCACCTGGGACCCAGTGCCCATGACTGACATACACAGCAGACACAGAATCCCGTGGATAGAGGATAAAATAAGGAAACTAACTCATGACCACAAAGGGCCTGCTCTCTCAGAGCTGCAGTCCTCTGAAGACACAACTCAGACCTCAGGAAGCCTGCGGGAGTCCCGGTCCCATGAGGGGTCTCACCATCGCCCCCGTGCACACTGACGCGGAAGGCCTGAACTCCCAGACAGGTCCCACGCAGAGTCGGAACCCTCCATGCCTTCACGCCCTAGCTCTCCTCCGCTAGCACACAGGCCGGCACCTAGAGCCATGGTTAATGCCTAGCACGCCTTGTCTGTGACAAACGTTATCCTGTTTGAAATGCTACTTCTGAGCGCTGAGGGAAAGTTTTGAATCCCGTATGAGTGGTTCCTGTGATTCAGTCAATCAGCATCTTGCTCCTGGGAACACACTCTAGCTGACGGTGTAACCACCGAGAAAGGATGGAGCAGTTCAGTGTCTTAAAGAGCACAGCAGGCAGGGGTGGTGCACGCCTTTAATCCCAGCACTTAGGAGGCAGAGGCAGGGGATCTCTGAGATCACAGCCAAATCGGTCTACACAGCAAGTTTCAAGCCAGCCAGGGCTGTATTATTAAAAAAAAGAATATGGGACAGGAAATGATACAGCTCAGGGGAAGGGAACTTAGGTAAGGTCTTACATTCAATACCCAGCAGCATATAAATAAAAAGGGAAACTAAGTATGATTTTAAGCTAAGCATGGTATGTACAACCATATTCCCAGCACCCAGAAGGCTGAGGCAGGAGGATTCTACATTCAAGGACAACTTAGCCTGTATAGTGAAATTCAAAATAAACAAGGCTATGGACATAGTTCAGTTATAGCGCATTTGCCTAACACACATTAAGCCCTGAGTTCAATCCCTAGAGTGGGTGGGCATGCGCACACGCACGCACGCACGCACACACGCACGCACGCACACACACACGCACACACGCACACACACACACACACACACACACACACACACAGTCCACTCTGAGAGGAACAATGCTGCATCACAGCCTGGCGGGAAAAGTTCCAAGTACCCTCCCCTTCAGGGAAAGCATCACCACTTCCTTCCCATGTGTCCTCCAGGCAGGTGTGGGACTCAGCTGTGGACAATGTCACTGGACTAGACTGGACAATGTCACTGGACTAGACACACATACATACAGACCTAGAAATACTGTCTCGAGAGAGTTCCCCCAGAACTTCACTCAAGAGTACTAACGTCTGTAAGCAAGCCACTGGTCACCAAGCAGGACAGGCTGTCTGGACAAGCATGCAGGAACTGGAGAACAGTGCACATACAGTACAGCTCCCACGGGACATCTACGTGGATGCTGACTGGATGTCTTGGCACAGAAAATCCCGGAACAAGAAAGCTGCTACACAGAGAGACAGTGTCCCTCCCGAAACCTGGCTACTAACTTTTGCACATGACGCATAAGCAAGACTCCGGCTCCTCCCAAACTGCTACAACTAAGCAAACTCGGAAGAGTCAGTCAATCCAGGAGGAGACCAGACTCTAAGAAAGTTCTTCTGAAGAGTCAGTCAATCCAGGAGGAGACCAGACTCTAAGAAAAGTCCCAAGCTACAGTTTGACAAAACCACACGACAGCTAACCACACCACCACTGCAACTTCAGGACGTCAGGAATACTCGACTGAATCTGCTCACACTGAAGAGAGCTCCAAAGACACCAGCTCACCCCACGAGTCTCCACTCACATTACAGAGACCCACGTGAAGGTCACACGCTTCCCACACCCTGGGTAGAAAGCAGTGGTAAGGATGTCCCAGGGAAGGCCGGGGGACACCTGCTTGTCTCATGGACCACAGAGGTGGCGTGGACAACAGCCCCTAACGCTGCTGCTGAGCGCTCTGGAAAACAGTTCCCACTGGACAGCATCTCCCCTCAGAGCTCTCCAGCAGCCCCAGGGCGGCCTCCTCAGTGGCATCAGGAGTGCTGAGTTAGCAAGGAAATTGGACAGATTAGGAAAGCTAGTTAGTTGTCAGCCACACCCATTCCTAGGTTACGGGAAGCCAGAGCACGGACTAGGTCTGCACCGCGCATGCACAGTCAGCAAACACGCATGCTCTAGGAAAGGCCAGTCAGCTCCCGTGGACCCCGTGAGAGCCTCTGCAAGCAGCACAGCTTCAGCACTAGCAGAAGTTAGGAACTTACAGAAAGCTTCCCTGCTGCTTAGTTTGCGAAAGTGGAGGGTCTAGCGTGAGACAGAGCAGCCGGCAGGAGCTGTGTGGCCGGGCGGCCGGCAGTCCCGAGTGCAGCCGCTGGCTGTGTGCCGTACTTACCCCATTCCACTCTACGCTCATACTCACTTCCTCGCCTCCGTCAGGGCCACTCTCGTACTTGACCACGTCCACGTTGAGGCTCTCCCGGCTCCTCCGCTTCTCCATGTTCTCAGGGTCGTTTAGCACTTCAGCCACTCTCTGTTTGTGAACAGTGTCAAGACCCTGTGAGCCAGGCAGGGGAGAGCGGTGTGACCCGTTAGCACTCATCTCAGAAGACTTCTCAGACTTGGGACGAAGAGTCAGGGTCCTTTACTTTTTATTTTATTTTTTTCAAGACAGGATTTCTCTGTAGCTTTGGAACCTATCCTGAAACTGACTCTGTAGAGCAAGCTGACCTCAAACTCACAGAGATCCGCCTGCCTCTGCCTGCCTAGGGCTGGGATTAAAGGTGTGTGCCACCACCGCGACCCACGCTGTAAGCACTTTATCCTTTACTTATCTATTGTTTATACTGGGGCATGCCTGCCACAGAGCCATGTGGGAGAGGTCAAAGGGCATCACTGAGTCAGTGGGCTCCCTCCTTCCGGCTTCATGCAAGTTTGTGAGGCACAGGACTCAGGCTGTCAGGACTGCATAGCAAGCACCTTTACCCAGTGAGCCCTTACTATCTCAGTGGCCCCAAGGATCCCAATCCTTAAGTTCCCAGGACAAACTCAGATCAGTGGTTCCTGGGGATGGGGTTTGGGCTATGGTCACAGGGAGAGGTGTGAGTTACGGATCCAGAGCTCAGGAGCGTACACACAGGACTGCACACTGTACCCCACACAGGCAAGCTGGTGTAATGGCACACTTGGAGAGCAGAGAGGAGGATGAAGAGTTCAGGGCCAGCCTGGCTACACAAGGCCTATATTTAAACAAAGCAAGAGCTATGAGCAAATAGTGAGCTCCAGGTAATGACGGACACACTAGAGTGTCTGGACTAGAAATGTAGCTAAGAGCTTGCGCAGTGTGCACACTGGGTCCTGTCACCAATGCCACACAACCAGCCCCGAGGCACTCCTGCAGTCTCAGCACTCAGGAGGGGCAGGCAGGGAGACAGAGACTCAAGGCTGACCTCTGCTAGAGTTTGAGGCCAGCCTAGGAAACCAGACAGTCCGTTTCAAATACTAACAAAGAACCTGGCACGCTCCCCGTATCTTTCCCTGTGATGTGTGACAGGAGGCTTCCACGACAGAATCTGTCCTTCTATCCCTGGCTGTTCTTCCAGAGGACCCGAGTTCAATCCCAGCACCCACGTGGCAGCTCACAGCTGTCTGTAACTCCAGTTCCAGGGGATCTGACACCTCACAGCAGTGCACAGAAAATAAAGCTAAGTTAAAAAAAATACTGAGAGGGTGATGAGGGACGCGCTGACGCCTGTCTGTCTATTAACACATGACACAAGTGCATGAGAGGCCGCACTGACACCTGTCTGTCTATTAACACATGACACACGTGCATGAGAGGCCGCGCTGACGCCTGTCTGTCTATTAACACATGACACACGTGCATGAGAGGCTGCGCTGACGCCTGTCTGTCTATTAACACATGACACACGTGCATGAGAGGCTGCGCTGACGCCTGTCTGTCTATTAACACATGACACACGTGCATGAGAGGCTGCGCTGACGCCTGTCTGTCTATTAACACATGACACACGTGCATGAGAGGCTGCGCTGACGCCTGTCTGTCTATTAACACATGACACACGTGCATGAGAGGCTGCGCTGACACCTGTCTGTCTATTAACACATGACACACGTGCATGAGAGGCCGCGCTGACGCCTGTCTATTAACACATGACACACGTGCATGAGAGGCTGCGCTGACACCTGTCTGTCTATTAACACATGACACACGTGCATGAGAGGCTGCGCTGACGCCTGTCTGTCTATTAACACATGACACACGTGCATGAGAGGCCGCGCTGACGCCTGTCTATTAACACATGACACACGTGCATGAGAGGCCGCGCTGACGCCTGTCTGTCTATTAACACATGACACACGTGCATGAGAGGCCGCACTGACACCTGTCTGTCTATTAACACATGACACACGTGCATGAGAGGCCGCGCTGACGCCTGTCTATTAACACATGACACACGTGCATGAGAGGCTGCGCTGACGCCTGTCTGTCTATTAACACATGACACACGTGCATGAGAGGCCGCGCTGACGCCTGTCTGTCTATTAACACATGATACAAGTGCATGAGAGGCCGCGCTGACACCTGTCCATTTTGTCTTTGAGACAGGTGTCTCCATGTAGCCCTGGCTGTGCTGGGATTCACTATGTAAGACAGCGCTGGCCACACTCACTGCCAGGTGCTGGGATTAAAGGTAAATGGCACACCACACCCAGAAAAGCCATGTTCTTTTGTTATTTTTGTCTTTTTTGGGGGGGTCTATTTTTTCGTTTTGCTTTGTCTTTGAGACAGGCGGCTCTATGTAACCCTCACTGACCTAGAACTTACCATTTACACCAGACTGTCCAAAAACTCACGGACATCCTGCTTCTGCTACCAAAATCCTAGAATTGAAGGCTTGCACTACCACACCCAGACCCCAGACCTAGATTTTTTTACATTTAAACTTATTTGTGTGTGTATATGTATAACCAATAGAGTTACAAAGCAAAACCCTGTCTCCCAAATAAATACAAAAATAAATAGGCAGGCAGGCAGGCAGGCAGATAGACAGACAGACAGATCTTTTCTCCTGCAGTGTTTGGGGTCAAGTCCATAGTCCTACACGTGTGACAAGTGTTCTTCACATAGCCTAAGCCAAAATCAAGCCTTCAATAACAGCCACATAAAAGGCTATCAGAGTTCCAACACACTAGTCTGCAGAAGTGTCAAGCACACCTGTTTACGTGACCTCATGGCAGCTTCTTCCAATGTCTCTGCAGCTTCAAATTTCCCCTGCCGTCGGTAAAGTGCTCCAAGGTTTTTCAAAGTGGTTGTGACGGTAGGACTGCAAGAATACACAAGACACAGAACCATTACATGCAATGTCCAGGACAGTCACTATCAACAGCATGTCTGATCTGTGTGCTTTAGTGACAGCGTGTACCTCTCCAGGGATGCTGTGGTGCAGGACACTAAGGACGGTGATTTAACACCCTGAACTATGTTCTCCACTCCAGCAGCCTGATGCTCAGTGCTGTTAGCCCCTACGGCTCTCTACAAAACCCCAAGCGTTCTCCCAGGGCCAGGCCATGTGCAGACTGCCAGCATGGCCACAGAAGCATGTGGCTGGTCGACCCAGTGGTCAGCGCACTCCCCTGTGCTGAACTTATCTCCAGTTTCACTCGAGCCTCCTGACCTGACAGCTACAGCAGACACTTTGTAAAGGAAGCAGGGGCTGCAAGTCAGGATGGGAGACAGAGAAGTTTAGCTAAAAAATGGAAATAAGGGGCCAGGGACATACATACTCAGTGGTCAGGGCTGCACAAGCATGGGGACCTGAGTTTGGGTCCCCAGTGCTCACACAGAGACAAGCATGAATGTATACACCTACACCCAGTGCTTACACAGAGCCAAGCATGGAGAGATGCCTGTACCCACTGCTCACGCAGAGCCACGCATGGACGTATGCCTGTACCCACAACACTGGAGGAGTGGAGACAGGTAGGTACCACTCAATGGCCAGCCAGTCAGCCAAAACGACATGCTCCATGTTCAAGGAGAGAACCTGTCTCAAAAGCTTACATGGAGAGTAATAAAAGATCTAAAAGTCAATGCTGCTCCAGCCTCTACACACACACAGAGGAGAGCACACCCATACACACAGGTGCACACACACACACACACACACACACACACACAGAGGCGAGCGCCCTCATACACACAGGTACACGCACGCACACACACACAGAGGGGAGTGCACCCATACACACAGGTGCACACACACACGCACACACACACAGAGGCGAGCACCCTCATACACACAGGTGCACGCACACACACACACAGAGGGGAGTGCACCCATACACACAGGTGCACACACACACGCACACACACACAGAGGCGAGCGCCCTCATACACACAGGTGCACACACACACACACAGAGGGGAGTGCACCCATACACACAGGTGCACACACACACACAGGTGCACACACACACAGAGGGGAGTGCTCTCATACACACAGGTGCACACACACACACACACAGAGGCGAGCGCCCTCATACACACAGGTGCACGCACACACACACAGGTGCACACACACACACACACACACACAGAGGCGAGCGCCCTCATACACACAGGTGCACGCACACACACACACAGAGGGGAGCACACTCATACGCACAGGTGCACACACACACACACACACAGAGGGGAGTGCACCCATACACACAGGTGCACACACACACACACACAGAGGGGAGCACACTCATACGCACAGGTGCACACACACACACACACACAGAGGGGAGTGCACCCATACACACAGGTGCACACACACACACAGAGGGGAGCACACTCATACGCACAGGTGCACACACACACACACACACAGAGGGGAGTGCACCCATACACACAGGTGCACACACACACACACACACAGAGGCGAGGGCACCCATACACACAGGTGCACACACACACACACAGAGGCGAGGGCACCCATACACACAGGTGCACACACACACACACACAGGCGAGCTCACTCATACACAGTTGCACACACACACACAGAGGCGAGTGCTCTCATACACACAGGTGCGCGCGCGCGCACACACACACACACACACACACACACACGGAGGCGAGCGCACCCATACACACAGGTGCACACACAGACTCAGAAGCAGTCTGCTATGACGGCATGCCTGTGTGACCATGGCACTCAGGAGGCTGAGGCAGGAAGGTCAAGAGCTTAAGGCCAGTACACATGACTCAGCAAGACCCCATCACAGGAGCAGACAAAGCTAGAAATAACCTAGAATCGTTTCGGTACAATTCTGCATTCTGAGAGGTGCTGTCCTGCTGACGACACATGTCCCAGTCAAGTGCACATGGGAAGGACACATGAATTCCATCCATCCAGTGACTGCGAAGGGTCCAACAAGTTTGTCTGACATAGGGGAGCAGGCCACTAAGGGAAGCTGAGACGAGGCATGTCAGCAGGTCTCTAGGCCAGCAGCAGGCATGGGCACCCACACTTAGCCCAGCGCAGCAAGGGTGTCCACCCTGCCCTGTGCAGACGGGTTGGCTCCTGAAGGCTCATTAAGTGTTCCGTTCCTTCAGTTAGGTGTTTGCAGATAAAGAGCGTTGATGGCCAGCACCACCCTGCTGTAGTGAGGGTGTGCAAGTAAATGTAAATGATCGCACCGCAAAAATAGGTTTTTATGTTATTTTTACCTAGTTTTTTAAGGCAGGGTGTCTTTCACTTTGCAGCCCTGGCTAGCCTGAAACTCCCTATTCTAACCTCAAACTCACATACATCCTTCTGCATACGCCTCTCTCATACTGGCTTAGCGCTGTGTGTCACCGGAACTAGTTGCTTTTTTAACTTTATTTTGCTAATTACTATTATTACCAGCATGGTAATACGTGTTTGAAGGCACACATGAGCACAAGCCTCGTGTGGAGGCCAGAGGACAAGCCTGTGCTCACGTCGGCTCCCAGGGTTAAACTCAGCAGCTCAGCGGTCAGGCTTCTAATCAGAATTTGGGGAACGGGGGGACCACGGGACAGGACTGTGAGCGCCTGGTCCAGCCTCGCCGTTCGGCGTCTGGAGCTTGACTGGCAGACTCACCTGTCCACTTTGCAGGCTTTGTACCAGCCGCCGTACTCTCCGAAAGACGTCCCGTCCTTGTGCTTTCCCTAGTTGCAGGAGAGAACCTGAGTGAATGGGGGCTGGCGCGGGGCACCCAGCGCGGGGCCGGCATGCAGCGCCTCTTACTTTGCACTCTTCTCTCTCCTCCGCGTGCATCCAGATGGGCTTGTTTTCATCTAGGAAGAAAACAGTCTTCTGAATTACAGACGAAGGAAGCTGGGACCTTTAACCCCGGCACTTGGGAAGCAGAGGCAGGCGGAAGGTTGAGTTCCAGGCTAGCTTGGTCTACAAAGGAATTCCAGAAAAGCCAAGGCTACATAGTAGCCACTGCATAGATAACCTCTAAGGCTGCCAGGGACTACAAGATTTTTCCTTGCTTTTAATAGGAGCCTCCTCAGGAATTTTTTCCTAATTTTTTGTGTGGACACATGTATGACGTGCATGTGTATGTATATGTTTTACATGTATGTGGTCATACACATGTGGGAGTGAGCATGCACATGGAAACCCCAGGTTGGTGTCTGGAGTCCTCCTATTACTCTTTCTGATTTATTCAATGAGGCAGGGTCTTCCAGCAAAGCCAGAACTCAGGGTACAGCTTGTCTCTCTAGCCAACTTGCTCTAGAGACTCTGTTTTCTCCTCTGAGTCTCCACAGGGCCTGGAGATCCAAGCATGGCACACACTTAGTCACTCATGCTCTCCTTGGCCTACTTTTGACTGGTCAAGTCATCCTGGAGGAAACCCCTACCCAGGGGACCAGAAGGAGATGGTTATAAATGTCTCATACTGAGGATGTCAGATAAAGAATGCATCTTTTACCGGATAGATGTTAGACTCTGTAAAACATTCATACACTTAAAAGTAATTTTTTGGGGGAGGGGTGGGTTTCGAGACAGGGTTTCTCTGTGTAGCTTTGGCTGTCATGGAACTCACTCTATAAACCAGGCTGGCCTTGAACTAAAAAAAAAAAACTCCCCTGCCTCTGTCTCCCGAGTACTGGGATTAAAGGAGTGCTCCATCTCCACCTACCAAAATATACAGTAAGTAAATAAATAAATAAATAAATAGTGCTTATGTGAAAGCAAACCACACGTGTGTAGACACACCTCTGGACCCACCCTGCGAACTTCCTGCACACTCATGACTGCCATCTGAATGTGTCCTGTGACACTGTGTAAAGGAAGTGTCTAACACAAAAATGCTCAGGTCAGCCATTTAAGGCATACTGATGAATATGGGATGCTGCTTCATGTACATCTGCACAGCAGAAGAGGGCATCTGAGCCCATTGCAGATGGCCGTGAGCCACCGTGTGGCTGCTGGGAAGGACCTCAGGACCTCGGGAAGAGCAGCCAGTGCTCTTAAGCTCCGAGCCATCTCTCTAGGGCCTGATTCAGCAATTTCAATTCTATAAACTACACACTTCACTGCACGTCCTTCCAGAGGTACAGGCAGAGGGTCCGCAGAGCTGCACCGGGTCTCCTGAGCACAGACTACACCAGCACACCAACACTTTTCCTCACACTGTAACTAAACACCTGCAGTGTCTGAAGTAAGCATGGACCCTGTAGAAATGGACTGTCACACTGCCACCAAGACCCCTCGCTTAATGTTCACTCCCTGAGCAATGGAGCAGCAAGTGAGCTCGCAATCGCATGCCTTCTCTCACAGATCGTCTTGGCCGTGGTGTCTCTTCACGGCAACAGGAGGGTGAGACAACAGAAGATACCATATAAAAGCTTTAAGAGAAGGGGGTGAGACACTGTGGGAACCAGGGTGCTATTGCCAGTTTCAAGCTGGAAAGCACTCTTTTGAGTACATACAATGAATACATTTACTTAGGATATGTCTTACCATCCACAGAACCAAACTCCCGTTCGTGCGCACGGGTGAGGATCTCCTTGTACAGCGTTTCTGCCTGTTTGAACTTCCCTTGTTTCAGATAACAGGAGGCCTTCAAATAAAACACAGCACTCAGTGCCTTTGCATGGAAAGGCAGCTGGGGTTCTGTCTGCAGGGGCTGTGGTCCATCTGGACGTACCAGGTTGTTCTTCGTCTTGGCCACGTTGGGGTCATCGGGCCCCAGCTTTGTCTGGTATATCTCCAGGGCCCTCTGGTAGTAATACTCCACCTCCTCATACTTGCCCTGGTTCTGGCACAGTAAGGCCAGGTTATTTAACTGCTTGGCAACGTCCGGATGATCCTTTCCCAGAACCTGGGATTAAAGACAAACAGTGAATCAGAAACACCACCATCCATTCCACTGTCCACCCTCCTGCAAGCGGATCTTCTTTTTTTAATATTTATTTATTATATATACAGTGTTCTAACTGCATATACACCTGCACACCAGAAGAGGGCAGAAAATTTCATTACAGAGGGCTGTGAATCAACATGTGGGTGCTGGGGATTGAACTCAGGTCCTCTGGAAGAGCAGCCAGTGCTCTTAACCTCTGAGCCACCTCTCCAGCACAGACAGATCACATAACTTTCCGTGCTCCACATGCAGGCTGGAAACAGCACGCGACTCTCATACATCACAACAGAGTGGCTGGAGTCTGATGTCAGCCGGAGGAGAGAGGAAGAGAGGAGAGGGAAGGGGTGGAGAGGGGAGGAGGGGAGGGGAGGAGAGGAGAGGGGAGAAGAGGAGGGGAGGGGAGAGGAGGGAAGGAGAAGAGGGGAGGGGTGGAGAGGGGAGGGGAGGGGAGGGGAGGGGAGGGGAGGGGAGGATGTTGCACTCACATCCTTAGCTCCTTTATTTTCAGGCGGGAAAGCACATGCTGAAACAAGGTCTCATGATCCCCAGACTGGGATGATCTAGAACTTCAGACTCTCCTGCCTCTGCCCACCAAGTGCTGGGATAACAGGCCTGAGCCACTACATGTGGCTCTGCTTGTTTTTTGTTTGTTTTTTTGGGGGGTGATCTCACTCTGTAGAGCAGGCTAGCCTGGAACTCTATTTAACCCAGGCTAGTCCTGCCTCGGCCTCCCAGGTGCTAGGACTACAGGTTTAAGCTTCCACAACCTTGGCTGCTTTCTGTACTTCGTGGCAAGTGCCGCCATGGAGCTAAGTCAGTGAGCCCAGATTCAGCCCAAACACAGCTTCCTGGAAAGCTGACTCAACACTCCACGCCCCGGGCTGGAGGAGCCCCTGCTCCCTCCCTTCCTGTGGCCCTGTCCTACAGGTGACACATCCTGGGACCTGACCAGTTAAGGGACTATGCTCTTCCCAAGCAAGAAATTTTACATGAAGCACTTTAATAAACTTAGTTGTCTTTCTTCCTTCCTTTCTTTCCTCTCTGTCTACCCCCACCCTGCCTTTGAAACAGGACATTGCTGTTTTCTCTAGACTAGTATCAGGCTTCTGAACTTAATAAAGAACTCAAACCACAGTCATGTGCCAAGCGCCCACTCAAGTGGCAGATCACCTTCCAGGTCTTCTAACCTTTGACCTCTCTTTGTGCCGACCCTGCTTCTGACCCCAGCCCACACAAATCTGACACTTTCATTTAATAAGTGTGCAGGTGACTAAACAATACGACAGTATCTAATCGGGCTGGAGAGATGGCTCAATGGTTAAGAGCACTTGATCTCTTGCAGAGGACCCAAGTTTCATTGTGTAGCATCCACATGGCAGCTCACAACCCTCTGACCTCTGAGGAGGCTATACATGCATGTGGTGCATGCCCATCCATGCAGGCAAAATGCTCACACATAAAATAAAGCGAGTCAATCTATTAAAAATGAAATATTATCTATATATTGATAATCCTTGCCATCTGGCTCAAAATTAAATGATCACTCCCCAGTATCACTGATAAACAACTTCTTCAAGAAACACCAAGCTGGCCGGGCGTTGGTGGCGCACGCCTTTAATCCCAGCACTCGGGAGGCAGAGGCAAGCGGATCTCTGTAAGTTCGAGACCAGCCTGGACTACCAAGGGAGTTCCAGGACAGCCTCCAAAGCCACAGAGAAACCCTGTCTCGAAAAAACAAAAAACAAAAAACAAAAAAAAAAAAAAAAAAAAAAAAGAAAGAAAGAAAGAAAGAAAGAAACACCAAGCTGGGGCTGGAAAGATGGCACAGTGGTTAGGGGCATCAGCTACTTGTCCAGAGGACCCAGGTTCCGTTTCCAGCATCCACATGGCAGCTCACAACTATTTGTTAGCCCTAGTTCCAAGGTGCCCTCTTGTGGGCAATGCTGACACCAAGCACATATCCAGTATACATATATGCTTATAGGCAAAACACTCATATACACAGAATAAAAATAAATAAATTCTAAAAATAAAGAAAACCACCAAACACAACTGTGACATTCAGTCCCCCAGATTATTCAACCTGTCCAGTTTTTGTCCACCCTGGGAAGCGGTGACAAATACAAATTCCCCTGTGCCTGGACTTGCTGTGCTATTGGTCACAGGAGACAAGGCCCATGTACTTTATAACCCTCCAGACACTGCGGGTGTTTAGTCACAGTGTAAGGAAAAGTGTTGGTGTGCTGGTGTAGTCTGCTCAGGAGACCCGCTGCAGCTCTGCAGACCCTCTGCCTGTACCTCTGGAAGGACGTGCAGTGAAGTGTGTAGTTATTGAAGATTTGTGTAATTGCATGACTGTTTTGCCTGCGTGTGTGTGTGTGTGTGTGTGTGTGTGTGTGTGTGTGTGTGTGTGTGTGTGTATGAACCACATGCATCCTTGCTGCCCACTGAAGCCAGAGGAAAACTTTGCATCCCCTAGAAGTGGAGTTAAAGACAGCTGTGAGCCACCAAGTGGGTGCTGGGAATTGAACTTGAGTCTTCTGTAAGAGCAGCCAGTGCTCTTAACCACTAACCCATCTCTCCAGCCTCAGTAAACTTGTTTGTTTCTTTTAGATACAGTCTCTATGTGGTCCTGACTGTCTAACTCTGTAGACAAGGCTGGCCTTACACTCAGAGATCCACCTGCTTCTGCCTCCTGAGTGCTAGGATCAAAGGCGTGCGCCACTATACCTGACAGTAAACTTTATTTTTTTTTTGATGGAGGGGACTGAGACAGGGTTTCTCTGTGTAACAGCTCTGGCTGTCCTGGAACTCCATCTGTAGACCAGGCTGGCCTCAAACTTCTGAATGCTAAAATTACAGGTGTGTGCCACCACCGCCCAGCTATAAACTTATTCTTAAACTGAAAAGTCTTTAGTGACAACTGTACACTGTTAAGGTGGAAGCTTCACCCCAGCCCCTGGCATCCATTTACCCAGAGTCTGGGATGTTATGGTGCAGGTTCCACCCAAGCCCCCCTCCCCCATCTCCCTCCAAACCCTGCTGCACCTCAGAAAGCCCGCCAAATGATGCCCCTCCCCCATCGTTGCTCAAGACTGCTCCCACAGGGTATTTAAACTGTCCTGCAAGAACAGACTCATGGTTTTTCCGGTTTCCCTTTCCCATCTCCTCTCTGGGGGACTGGAAGTCTACCCGTGAGTGTTGTATCCATTAGACGTGGTCCTTTTCTAATTTGGTTTGATTTGGTCTGATTTGGATTGCTGCATCAGCGGAGAGGCTTATCCAGGTGTAGAAACTTTTCACACACCACCACTGAAATGCAGAGGCTGCATTGCCCACCGGCCATGGGGCACCTCATTTCTGGTCAGCAGCAGGGACAGCAGGGCTACACACAGGAAGCCGCCCTCTCTCTGCCTTTCCTCAAGAGTGACAGTAAACAGGAACACCACCACAGTGTTCTCACACCGTGACATGACCCCCACCCCGGCAAACCGGGAACTCTGCAGCCTCATACCTTCTCTCGGATCTCCAAGGCTCGTTTGCACAGCGGCTCGGCCTCCTTGTACTTCCCTCGTTTGCCATACAGCACTGCTAGATTGTTGAGAGTCGCTGCCACCTGCCAAGAGAGGCCCACAGGGAGCTGCTGTGAGAGCTGCCACAGGAAGGGGAGGCCCAGACTCGCCCCCACGCGTGGTGCCACACCCGTCACATCACAGGGACTCACTACAAACCCACTACTGAGGTGACACAGAGCAACATGATCTTGATTTTTCAATTTTTCTCGAAGCCACAAAGCCAACCAAAACAGACCTCTGTGCAAATCTAACCAGACTATGAAAAGACAAGAATTCTTGAGGACAAATCATAAAAGGACGTGCAACTTGATTTTGGATCAAAGTGAAGTGCGCCAGTGATCTGAAGGGTGACTTCACAAATCAGAGGTGACCAGGGTGTGTGAGCGTGTGACTACCTGAGCAGCCCCTACTGGTGCCATCTGGGACAAGGTGGCTCTCAGACCCTCCCTGCTGAACTCGACACTGGCATGAGCTGGACAAAAATGTATTGGGGAAAATAAAGGGTAAACAGCTGGAAGAAGCAGGGATACACACCGCGGGGTGATCTCTGCCCAGAGTTTTCTCACGGATAGCCAGGGCGTCATTGAGGAGATTGGCTGCATCTTTGTACTTGTTCTGATCCCTAAACCAAAACACATGTCAGTGTTCAGCTGGAGGTCACTAAACCCACCCACCTGGTTAGTCAGCAGGCCACTGTGGGTAGTGAGGACTGAAGCCTCAGGCAAGCTAAGCATTTGCTCTACCACAAGCCAGGTTCAATCTTTGCTGCTTTTAATAATTTATCTTTATTTTATGCTCATTTGTGCTTTGCCTGTTTTGTCTGTGTGAGGGTGTCAGAGCCCCTTAAACTGGAGTTATAGACAGTTATGAGCTGCCATGTGGGTGCTGGGAATTGAACCCAGGTCCTCTGGAAGAGCAGACAGTGCTCTTAACCACTGAGCCATTTACCCAGCCCAGAGCCTGACCCTTTTTCAAATGCAATTTGTAGTGTTGACCTAGGGAGGCAATCGAGAGCAGTGAAGAGAGCCTATGTGTGGACCAGAAAAGGATCCTCTACCAGCAGCAGTCACCCAAGCCACAGTTGGTAGAGACCCATACCTGCCCTAGGTCTGCTCAGTCAGGAGCTCAGAGATCAGCCCAGCACAGTAAGACTGAAGCCTAATAGGTAATTCAGATTAAAAATGAAAAATGTATGGCCAGGCTTTGGTGGCGCACACTGTAATCCCAGTACTCAAGAAGCAGAGGCAGGCGGAGCTCTGTGAGTTCAAGGCCAGCCTGTCTACAGAGTGAGTTCCAGGACAGCCTCCAAAGCCACTGAGAAACCTGTCTTGAACGCCTCGTCCCACCATTAAAAAAAAAAAATTTGCAAAGACCTACAGGAGACTCTGTCTTAGGAAATTATTGTAAGGAGGAAAAGTACCTGAATTTTTGGACAATACTCAGGGAAATTCTCTTGCATGTTAAAGTCAGAAAACGTACTGGGAAGACAGCTCAGGCTTGGCTCCCAGCACCCACATGGTAGTTTCACAGCCATCTGTAGCCCAGTCCTGGGAGACCTGAAAGTCTCTTCTGACTTCCAAGGGCACTGCACATATGTGGTATACAGACAGATGCAGGCAAAACACTCATACACATAAAATAAAGTAATTTTTTTAAAAGTCAAAAGTGGCTGAGCTGGTCAGTGGGCATAAGTGGATGTTCGGGAAGCGCAGGCCCAGTGGCCACAGGCAGCACCCCCTCTGGTCCTGTGACACCCAGCCACCAAGCTGGCTGAATATTCTCGATGAACCCTGGCTGTCTGAAGTGGGTGGGGGCTGAAGGCTGTCTCACAGATGGTTATGAAACACTGCAGAAAGCAGCCTGGTTCAAAGAGGTCTCTCACGGTCTAGCGTAACCCAAGGACTAGCCTGTACACCAGGGCCAGGATGTTGAGCATGGTGGCCACATCGGGGTGGTCATGGCCGGAAGTCTTCTCCAGGTCCTCCAGGGCCTGCTTGCAGAGGGGCACTGCCACCTCATACCGGCCCTGTGAAGCATACTGGATCACCAGGTTGTGGAGTGTACGCAGCCTTGCTGGGATCTCGTAGCCCCCCTGCTGGGCAGCGGCAGCAGCGCTGCTGTGTTGCTGCTGGACTGCAGAGAGAAGGAGCATGGGAGAGTGGTTAGGACAGAGCCGCTCACACTTGGCTCCCACCCTAGCTCCAAGTTAGTGCTTATGCTAATTCAGACTGTCCTGAGTAATCCCTGAGCAAGCCAAAGGAGAAACAGTCTCAGGAAGACAGCATACTACAGACTGACAGCATGGGATTTCTCCAGGTCAGAAATTAAGGAAAGGTAGGCGGCTCTGATACCTTTAGCCTTGCAAAAGCCCTATTCACTGTGGTCTAGCCTATATACTAACACACTACTTTAAAGTTTGGAGAAACAGGCAGTCTCCCAGTATGGCGGCATTCACCTATGACCCCAGCATTGAGGAGGATGAGGCAGAAGAAATCAAGTGTTTGAGGTCTGGGCTAGAAGATACTCAGTGGTTAAGAGCAGGCACTGATCTCTCCTTCAAGGGACCAGGGTTCAGTTCCCAGCACCCACATGGCAGCTCACAGCCAGCAGCAGTTCCATTTCTAGGGGCTCTGTGGGTACCAGATACCCACAAAGTACATACAGAGACATGCAAATGAAACACTCATACATATAAAAGTTTTCAATCTTAAAAACAGTACCAGGGGCTGGGCATAGTGGCACACACCTTTAATCCCAGCACTCAGGAGGCAGAGGTAGGTGGATATCTGTGAGTTTCAGGCCAGCCTGGTCTACAGAGTGAGTTCCACATGGAGGAAATCCTGTCTTGAGAAAAACAAAGTCCCAGGCTAATGTGGGCTTGTCATAGTGAGACCTTGTGTAAGTAAATAGCAATCCCACAGGCTAAACACAGGCTCTGCAAACGGTGACAAGAATGTCCCCAGGGAGAAAGCAGCAGTGCTGCACAGCCACACACTGGCAACTCACTTCCTTGTCCTGGGTCATCCTCGTCATTTGGGAAGAGGTCATCCAATGGCTCTTTGGTAGAATCAGAGTCTTTGTCCTCCTACAAGAAACCCAGAGCACCCTTCACTGCAGAGTCTGCATGCTGCCCAGAAATCCTCAACATACAAGTTATTTTTATTTACTACAGACCACACAGAATAACCTAAGAATGAAATGTATGATCATCTGCAGCCTGGCTTATCCATCAGTCTAGTAAAGAGCAAGAACCTTACTAAACTTGCCTACCTTGCACAAGGCCTGAGGCTAGACACCCACCCCCACCTCAATGCCCCCCAAATAAATAATAAAAGAAGCAAAAGAGGGTCTGCTAGACTAAAACTGAGGAAACTTAGTACAGGCCATGGTGTGATAAGACTGACCCTGCCTGCATTCTAGACCTGAGATTCTTCTACTGTTTTCAGATGCAGTTCTAGCAGAGAAGGAAAGTCTTGCTGGGAATAAAAAATTAGTAAGCAGGAACCGACAGTGCACTATACTTCCCAGAGCAACACAGCGGAGGAGCTCCGTGTCCCACGCCTACAGTGGAGTACACTAGAGGTCCCAAGAGGAACTAAAAACCTGCCTGCCAGTTTTACATCATAACTTCAGCAGATCCTGCATAGTGCACAAGGCATAGTGACCACACAGCGAGGAGAAGGCACAGCATGACCAGCTGCGACAGGAGCATCACCACGAGGTAAGAGCAACACTGCCTCTGGAGGGGTAAACTGGTAAGCCAACCTCCCTTCTAAAGCATCCCCGCAGAGACGCACCAGGCCTTCTTCAAAGATACCACGACCATGAGAAAAACTGCTGAGGACTGCTCAAATGACAGCCGGCCAGAGGGGGGCGAGAGCCAGGGCCACGTCAGAGGAAGAGCATCTCCCTGTCCCGTGCAAAGCCTGATTCCCACCTCCATCACCAAAAACAGACACCTGCTCGGCTAAGCCAGAGTGCTACTAACAAATCCCCACTCAAAGAAAGGTGGGGAGGGGGGGAGCAAAACAACAGGAAAGCCTAGACACATCAACTGGAAAGCCAAGTCCAGACCTGAGCACAAACATCAGTAACTAAAACTGTGTTCAGAACTAAACGGCAAACTCCTGGTTAGAAGCAAACATTTGCTTTTATTACTGCTTTTTCCAGACAGGGTCTTGCTAAGTAGTTCTGCTGGCCTGGTACTCACCCTGTGGACCAGGCTAGCCTTGAACTTGCAACAGTTCTCCTGCCTATGCCTCCAAAAGTCCTGGGATTACAGGCTTGAGTCAACACACCTGGCCAAGACTTGCTTTTAGAGCATGGCTACCACACTTGGCCACCACACTTGGCCAGAGCCACTCACCGAGGGAGAGATGTCATCGTCATATTTCTTCAGCTGGTTCATGAACTCCAGGTGCTTCTTTTCCTCCTCCAGCTGAGCCACCGACTGCTCGCTCTTCTGCAGCTTCTGCTGCGTGTTGGCCAGTTCATCCCGCAGCCACTGGTTCTCCTGGCACAGACGGCGGACCTGAGCACGCAGCTTCTGTTTCTCTGACTCCACGGCATTCAGGTGACTGGATAGGGCCATCATCACCTAATCAAAAGGAGAGCCCCGGGGCACACATGTGGGCTTGCAGCTCCAACTCACATTCACAAAATCTTCTCTGGGCACATGCAAACAAGATCTGCCATCTATGCCTCCTTTACCCTCTGCACAGATCACACACTGGAGTGTCTACTTTTTTTCTATTTTTTTTTTTAGCATATTAATCATAGTTTGTTATAGTGACACTGAAAGGGGGGAGACAGACATGACAGAGAGAGACAAGACAGCGTAAGTGGGCGGGGTCTGTCCTTTAAAGGGGTCCTTTGCACCTGCATGGTTCTCACGGAACTCTGGGCTGGCCAGAGTGCTGCCTGAGTGTATTCTGCCAGCGGAATGTCTACTTTTAAACTAAGAAACAACTATTAATCGCAAATATTTTACATTGGCATGGATTTTTATATACTGTACAAATTTAAGGTTATTTTTTGTTATAACATACCATATATGTTTCTACTCTTGTTTCAGATATTGTACCTATGCAACTCATTTAAAAATGTAATGTAAAGTTCTAGTCCTTGAAAACTATTATTACAAAATATTTAGAATAATAAAGAAATGCAGGTTAGTAGTTAGTCATCTATAGCAATCAAACTTGTAGTCATGTTAGGTACGTTTTCAAGGTCAAATAGAGACATGTTTTAGATAGACAGATGGTCTCAAATACCTAAAGAGAGCTACAGAATATGGCATTTATGATGTTTGAATAGCGGAAGGCTTTTCTTGACAGTGAGATACACCTGCTCCTGGCAGCACCAATCTACTTCAGAGAAGGTGATGGGCACGAAGAACCTCCATGTTGAGTTTGCTTTCACTTGTGACAAAGCTAGCCACTGGACAAAGAAACTGCACTGGCCTGGACTACCGACAGTATGCTGTTCACACTGGACAAGCAACACAAAAGATGACTGCCAAGCTTTGCCAAGGCAAGGTAGGACATTCCTTCAAAATTCCTGCTTTACAGAAAGGTCTGTCAGATATTCTAGGCCTGTAGGCCAAAGATGGATGCCCCAACATTGCAGAGGAACATTGGGTGACTGTCCAGGTAGCCAGCTGTCTCTGTCATTTCTCTTTTCTTTAAATTTTATTTATTTATTATGTATACAGTGTTCTGTCTGTACATGTCCCTGCAGGTCAGAAGAGGGCACCAGATCTCATTACAGATGGTTCTGAGTCACCATGTGGTTGCCGGGAATTGAACTCAGGACCTCTGGAAGAGCAGCCAGTGCGGTTAACCTCTGAGCCATCTCTCCAGCCCCTCTCTGTCACTTGTTTTTTTTTTTTTTTTGGTTTTTCAAGACAGGGTTTCTCTGTGGCTTTGGAGGCTGTCCTGGAAACTAGCTCTTATAGATCAGGTAGGTGGATGTGAATCTCTGTGAGTTCCAAGCCAGCCTGGTCTACAGAGCCAGTTCCAGCACAGCCTCCAAAACAAAAAAAAAAATTATGATAGAAAGTGGTTTTAAGTATAAAACTCTGGACTCATCAAAATAGGATAGACAAATAAGAGTAATTTCTCCAAACTTGTCAAATACAAATGGAAAAACTGGACATTGTTTAAGTGTAGCTTTTACCTGATAATTGTTCTTATTGTATACAGTTTTATAAACTATGTTAAAAGTTAAAACTTTTCCCTTTTTTTTGGTTTTGTTTTGTTTTTATTTTTGTTTTGTTTTTCCAGACAGGGTCTCTCTGTGTAACTCTGGCTGCCCTGGAACTTGCTCTGTATTCCAGGCTGGCCTTGAACTCCTGGAGAACCATCTACCTCTACCTCCCAAGTACTTGGATTAAAGGTGTACACCACTACCACCTGGCAAAACCTTTCCTTTTTGTTTAGACAAAAAGGGTGAAAAGTTGCAGGATATTTGATTGCACTGTGATACTTTGAGACTGTTAATAAAGTTAAACCTTGAATCCAGGGACAGAGTCCACAACTAGCTGACAGGAATTATTGACAGATTTTGGAGGGCACAGAGAGAAACAGGAAGAGATTGGGGGGGGGGGACTTAGAGAGATTCTGGAAGGCGGAGACAGAGTCAGCTAGTTGTCCCTCTGCTGCTTTCTGAAGCTATCAGGTTTTTACCCTAATATCTGACTCCTGAGTTTTTATTAATAATAAAACAACTGAAGCTGGGCGTTGGTGGTGCACACCTTTAACCCCAGCACTTGGGAGGCAGAGGCAGGCGGATCTCTGTGAGTTCGAGACCAGCCTAGTCTACAGAGCAGCCTCCAAAACAATACAAAGAAACTCTGTCTCAAAAAAACAAACAAACAAAAAAAAAACATGAAATAATAGATAGAACAGCTGAGGTAAAAACACTTCACTGGGTGGTGATCCAGAAGTTTGGCTCCTGTTCATTCAATAACTGCACAAGGATACAGTAAGGAAGAAGCCATGCCCCCATGCACTGAATCTGAACTAGGCTTACTGACCGAGCCACATCTATGTCCCCTCGGGGGACAACATGTTTGCACTGTCCACATCTCTATGTAAGAGGTCTTTGAACACTTGAAGCAATATGGCCCTGGGTTGGTGTGTGCTGACTAACGCGGCCCTGGGTGTGTGCTGACAGGTCCACTCCTACCACACCTACGCACTAAGCACGTTCACCACTAAGGGGCGCCCACTGGTACCTGTGCCTCACTCAGGCCAAGCTCCAGCATCTCCAAGGACTTGCGGATCATGCTGGACTTCTCCTCCACCAGGTTGCTCTCGTCATCCTTCTTCAAGCACTTCAGTGTCTCCAGCAAACTCTGCAGGATGGAGTTGTGCTCATTCTTCAGAGCTTCCAGCCCCTGAATCACCTGCTTCGTCTTCGAAATGATTTCATCTTGGGTAAGCTTCTCCAGCTTCTCTTCCTGTATGTACACCATTGTGGACATGCTGTCATACATTCTAGGATGGAGAAAGAAAGTCAGACAGTTCATTTTAATCTCTGGATGTTGCATCCTTAAATAGCGAGCAGTGGCAATTATAAATCACCTTTCACAGATCTGGAGGGGCGGCTCAGCAGTTAAGAACACTTGCTCTTGAAGAGGACCTGGGTTCAGTTCCCGGCACCCACATTACAGTTCATAACTGTCTGTACCTCTAATTCCAGGGGATTCCATGCCCTCTTCTGACCTCTATAGGCACAGTATAAATGTGGTACATAGACACACAGATACACACACAGGCAAAATACCAATACACATAAAATAAAAATAAATAGATGTTTAAAAACTGTAAACCAGGCAGTGGTGGTGCACACCTTTAACCCAGCACTGGGAGGCAGAGGCAGGAGAATCTCTGTAAATTTGAAGCCAGTCTGGCCTACAGAGCGAGCTCCGGGATATTTAGGACGGTTACACAGAGAAGAGTCCTAACCAAGGCCATGTTCTGGTTAGTGTGTTTTTTTGTTTGTTTGTTTGTTTGTTTGTTTGTTTTTTGGTTTTTTTTTTTTGGTTTTTCGAGACAGGGTTTCTCTGTGGCTTTGGAGGCTGTCCTGGAACTCACTTGGTAGTCCAGGCTGGTCTTGAACTCACAAAGATCCGCCTGCCTCTGCCTCCCGAGTGTTGGGATTAAAGGCGTGCGCCACCAACGCCCGGCCTGGTTAGTGTGTTTACTGTGCTCTTATTTAGCATGTGGTTCCAAGGCCACCATTGCAAATTTGTACTACGTGACAAGCTAGGAAGAGAGTATGCTGGCCAGCTCCCTGAAAGCAGGTGTGTGTCCTCTTTACCTGGGTCCTAACCCTGGTACACAGCGTTTGCTAAATGAATGTGACATTTTAAAACCAGTTTTCAATGAAGATCAAACTGCAGTTGTAATCAGGTTTCTATGAGCAAACAGGAGGTCAGGGGCCAGGACTAAAAGGGTGAAAGATATAAAAACTTAGGCCTTCTTCGTCCTTCAGTGTCTACCCGATAGCAAAGTATTTACATATTACTTTACAGACAGGTGTGGCGGCAGGAAATGGGCTGTGACTCGTGGGGGTCAGCACTCAGCTGACTCACTTGTGGGGCTAAGGGCACGGTCTCAGAGGCAGCAGAGTCCCCAATAATTAGACCAATCTCCTGCCCAGGTGAAAGGACGGCAGGGTGGCCTGGGAGGCAGCAGCCTGATTTCTGCAGACACACTTCCCGAAATGAGACTCGCTACTGCCGGGCGTTGGTGGCGCACGCCTTTAATCTCAGCACTCGGGAGGCAGAGGCAGGCGGATCTCTGTGAGTTCGAGGCCGGGCTGGACCGACAACCTCCAAAACAATACAGAGAAACCCTGTCTCGTAAAAGCCAAAAAAAAAAAAAAAAAGAGACTCGCTACTTTCTGAGTCCCTGCCTTGACAGACTGCTCCAAATTTTATTAGACAGTCTCACCCCCCCAAGCAAAATTTGCCTCCTTGTGAATTCTACACATCCTTCTAAAATATACAGTTAAGGCATGGTGTTTCACACCTGTAACCCTAGCACACAGAGGTTGAGACAAGGAAGTTGCTGACAGTCTCAGGCCAGCCTGAGCTACAGGGTTTTTTTAACACTGTCTCAACTAACCACAAGTAATTAAATAAATATGAAATGTCTTCTGCTAACACACACAACACATCAAACATAGCTCTTAGCTCACAGGACCCACAGGCAACCTTAGTCAGACCATTTCCGTGTTTCATGCCAGTCACCATAGTATAAACACAGCACCGGTGTCACTGTGGGTGGAGAAAGACATGGTGGCATATACTGAGACGCCTACCTCTCCACCGTAAGCTAAGTAAGCTGCTAAAGCAACTGTCTATTAGGAAAACATAAAGGTGACCCTCCACCTTCAACACCCACCAAAACTAATTCCAGAGTAATGAGAACTGAATGTGGGGATTTTGTGTTTGTAGTGTTTTTTTTTTTTCTTTTGGTTTTTTGAGACAGGGTTTCTCTGTATTGCTTTGGAGGCTGTCCTGGAACTCACTTTGTAGTTCAGGCTGGCCTCGGACTCACAGAGATCCGCCTGCCTCTGCCTCCCGAGTGCTGGGATTAAAGGCGTGTGCCACCAACGCCCGGCGTGTTTGTAGTGTTAAAAACAGAATCCAGGGCCTTGTACATCCTTGGTAAACAGTCCCCCACACTAAATATGTTGTGTTGGTCTAATTGTTTGGGACATGGTCTCACAATGCAGCCGTCAGGCTGGCATTACAAGCATGCACCACTATGCCCAGCTTATGCAATGCTGCAATGTTGGAAATCAAACCCAGGGGCGTATGTACTCTACCTACTGAAATTCACACCTGATGTGGGGTGTCTTTCTGTAAGCTGTGAGTATGTGTTGCTCTTAGTGGCCGATAAATAAAGCTGCTTTGACCTATGGCAAGGCAGGGAAAGCCAGGCAGGAAATGCAAACAGAGATACAGGAGATGCCAGCACTGCCCAAGAAGCAACACACCAGAGCACCACTGGTGATACACAGATTAATAGGAATGGGTTCATTTGAATGTAAGAGCTTGCTAGCAACAAGCCTGAGCCATTGGCCAAACATTTATAATTAATACTAAGTCTCTGAGTGATTGTTAGAAACGGCTATGAGCTGAGCAAGACAGAAAAGTCTCTGGTTACAAACCCAAGTCAAAAGTTTCCTTTGCTTCCTGACTGGAGATACCTCCTCAGGGTGTATGCAGCAGCTGTCAGCTACATCCCTCGCTGCTTCTGAAGTTGTCCTTGGGGGCTCAGCCAGGATCTTGATAAAATGTTGGTCCTGGGGGTTGGAAATTGTGTGGTTGGTAGAGTCCTTGCCTATCAAGCACAAAGGTCTCTATCCTTAACCTTGCCAAAACAGGACATGGGAGTAATTCTAGCACTTGGGAGGTAGAGGTAAGGGAGTATGAAGTTCAAGGTTACCTTTGGCTACAAAGCAAAGCTAGTCTGGGTTACATGAACCCTTGTCTCACTCAGTAGCTAAAAGTACTTGCTCATACAGACAACCTAGGTTCAGTTCTACAAGACAGCTCATAACCATGGCTAACTCCAGTTCCATGGGATCCAACACCTTCTGCTGGTTTCCATGGGCACTGCATGCATGTATATACATATACACAGGCAAATACTTATACGCATAGAACAAAACTGATCTTTAAAAGGTAAAATACAGTCCTACAAGGTTTCCAGTGGAACCAACTACAAAACCATCTGTAGCACCAGTGACTTTTAGCCCTGGCTTAGCCAGCCAGGGAGTTCTTGTCCTCAATAGTCAAGGCCAGCAGCCTGCCAGCAGCCACAAGTCAATAGAGCTCTACCTCTGCTCCGCCCCTCAAGATTAAGGGATGGAGACCGATGCCCTGCAAGCCTGATCCCTGGAACACAGGGAAGAAAGAACCAACTCCCGACGTTTGTCCTCCTCCCTCCACATTCACCATTCACAGCGTGTCCCACACAAACACACAGGCATGCACACATGCTTGAACATACGCACACAAATAAGACAACTAAGGGCTGGAAATCCAAGAGGGAAGCAAGGAAGACTAGGCAGGCACGGGGGAGGGCAAACAAGGAGTGGCCAAAGGCTGTGGTAACTGCAGAAGTACAGCACAACAGGACACCTGCAGCCATCCAAACAACAAATCAAAAGCATCCAGAACGCCAGGGGCAGGGGCGGGGATACAGAGAGATGAAGCGCACTGGCCATTCTCCCAGAGGACCTGGGTTCGATTCCAAGCACCAATGTGGTAATTCACAACTATCTTTAACTCCAGTCTTAGAGAATCCAACACCCTCTCTGGCCTTGCAAGCACTGCACACGTGTGGTGTACATACATACATACACACAGGCAGAAAAGCCATACACATAAAAATACAGGTTACACAGTTACATAAAACATTTTTTAAACAAATCACCCAGCTTGGGCATAGTAGCACACACCTTTAGCCCCAGCAGTCGGAGGTAGATGCAAGAGGGTATCTGAGTTTGAGGCCAGCCTGTTCTACAAAGGGAGTCCTAGGACAGCCAGGGCTACACAGAGAAACTGTCTCGGGTGAGGGTGAGGATCACCCGGAACAAGCTAGGGCCAGCATGGTGGGCAGAGCTCCAGAAGCTCCCTGTGCAACACGGGGACACCCCCACATCATTAGTCACATTAGCCGCACAGGAGGACTGTCTTCCATCATTACCTACGCAAGGCCACCACAGGCCTGGAAACCCACACATAAAGAAAATGGAGTCCCTGCTGCATACCCTTATCTCAAGATCTTGTCTTCCACTAAATGAGCTTCCAAGACCACAGTGATGCAATCCTCTCTCAAGAAGCCCACAGCTACCCTTGGGTATACTACTGTCCTTTTCTCTGTCGATTTGTTTTATTTTATGTATATGGGTACATTGTCTCTATTATGTCTTTACACCATGTACATGCAGCACCTTTGGAGGCCAGAAGAGGGTGGCTAACCCCCTAGAACCAGGGTTCGCTGGAAAAGCAGCGGTGCTCTAACCACTGAGCAACCTCTCCAGCCCCCACTACTCTTCTCTTAAGCTTGTCTCCCTCAATCCCTAAACCTACGTGACAGCTATTTTTCTTCAAACTTTGTTTAAAAAAAAAACTTGGAAAAAAAGGTTAGAATAGAGAAACTGCACATACTTCTGAGGACACATTTTATGTGTTCTGTATGTGTGCATGTGTGTGGACATGCGTTAATATGGAAGCCAGAGAACAACCTACAGGGGTCAGTTCTCATCTGCCACCATGCAGGTCCCAGGATTCAAACTCTGGCTGTCAGGGTTGCCAGCATACGCCTTTACCCGATGGGCCATCTGGTTGCCCATGCTTTGTTTTGAACTGGGTTCCACCATGCAGCCCTGGCTAGCCTGGAACTCTCCATATAGACCAGACTGTCCTTGCCCTTGGATAGCAAGTGCTGATGAAAGGTGTGCACCGCCATAACAA